GGGAGGATGGGCAACCCTGCCTCCAAAGAACCATTGTTATGCATTATTTCATGGAAGGGAATGGCAATGCGCCGTCTCATTGTGTTATGTCTATTTAATCATCGTGAGACATTAATTATCTTCTAGCTGAAGACCGCTCCTGATCTTCTTCTTCTCTCTCAATTTCTGTAGGAAAACCTAGGCGAACCCAATGCTCGTCCGTTCGTAACATAAGCCCCATCATATTTTTGGAAGTGACATTCTCTTCACACACATTTTCCAATTATCTTCATTCCTCGTTGAAGGGGGTGTATGAAAAGAACACGTGCTCCACAGTTCTTCGGTGGTCATTCATGTCGGACATTCGGCGATTTATGTGTATGTGTTAGTGAACATCCTAGCTCAAAAATGAAAAGTCGCACGAAACTGAAATTACATATTTAAGGAAGGTTAGGTTTATGGCTGAGATGTTACAGCCACTTTTTCTTTAAAATCACTTAACCGGAGTGCCACTTTATATTATCTATTTTATCCGTTTTTACAATTTTCTCAAAAATGGCTCGAACAATATTGTTAGACTTGGTATATTAATGAACAATTAAATAGTCTTTAGTTTCAGTTAAATCTTATCTTCATTGATGTAACATAACAGGGCTTAAATCTCAAATGTTCAAAAGTTCTTCCTCTGAAGTATGCTTAATTAGGTTTATTGTAAATAATTAACTTTCTCTCATTGATAATAGTCATAAGAAAAGGCTCTATAGAAACTAAGAAAAAAATTAATAATTGACTTAAGTTGAATATAGGAAAATTATAATTTCATGATGAAAATTAATTTTCACAAATTATTTTAAGAAGGTATACGTATAACATATCGTTGGAAAACGTGAGAATTTTGAAAAAATAATCTAACATAAAGTCTTGGAAGATAATAGAGAGTAATAAAAAAATTATAAATAATAATTTCTGAAAATTAATATTATTTAACGGAAAACAAATGTTTCCATGGAAATTAAATGAAATTGCCTAACTCAATGTAATTTTTTAAAATAATTTTTTAGTTTGAATATGACATAAAGAATCGTGGTAACGAAATTGTTTAAAATTATTTTATTATACTTGTGAAAAAGAAGAAATTGAATATAAAAATATTTCATGGCTGAATAAAACATATTTTAATAACCTTAAATACATTGACTGTACTTTAATAACTCTAGATCCGATATCACATTTTCTCATTAAGAAATGTCTTACAGAAATCCTGGGACCTGGATAAAAATATGTACCTGGCTTTCCTTGACCTCAAATCTGCCTTTGACTCGGTTCCACGAGATAACATAAGGGAAGCTCTCAGAGCGAAGAACGTTCCGAGATACCTGGCAGAGGAGATTAAATCTATAGGTCAAGACACCAAAGGAATAGTCAGGCTGAACGGACTAGAATCAAAGTATTTCAATATTGCAAAAGCTGACAAGCAAGGAGACAGTTTAAGGAGACAGCCCTTTTTTGTTCTTGTTGTTCATGGATGAAGTGGCATCCATTTATAAGAGAAGATCTCATAGGACATTCCTGGGACGTAGGAATATTAATCCTGTAGTGATACAGCTTCTCCTCTTCATGAACTGCAGATAGCCCCACTGAAAGAGCTCCTAAAAATCCGTCGGCTAAAGTGTTCGGCCATGTTATGGATGACCACAGAGATCCTCTAAAGACGATGGAATACGTCCCAGATGGCAGACGGCCTAGGGGCCGCCCTTGTAGTCGACTACATTGAGCCTAGTTAGAAAAATAGGGAAGAATGGAATTCCTGGCTGAAGGCTCCTCTACGCTGAGAGGCACTAAAAAGAGAAATTAAAGAAGAAGTCCGATGTTATATTTGTTTTTAAATATTGGAATTTTTAAAAAAACCGACTCCAGAAATTGGGAAATTCTGTCCACCCTAAGGAAATTAAATTCCATATGTACTTAAACATCTTTGTATATTGCTATTCATGGGATCCCACAGAGTAATTCCAGACGTCGATCCAGCCCTTAGCTCAAAAAAGCGTCGCATAGCTGTTAGCGGTCGGCCCTAACACATAATCCTCGTTTCGCTTCGCTTAGTCGAGTAATAATTGGGAATATATCGTTGGCTTATTTCGAAAAATCATTATGTAATATTAGAAAAAATTAAATTAGGGAATAATTTTATGAACTTTCTCATTACGAAATCATAAAACCATAATCATACATCCACTTACATTAATGTGATAACTTTTGATATATCGATGAAAAATTCTAACTCCATTTTAGTCAATTTTATGAGAAAAATAAAAGTTTGAAGAAAAATAACATGCATAATATTATCCAAATTTAGTTCTTATAAGTTTTACTATATAGTATAATCCTTATTCATTCATATATTAAATTATAAATGTATTTGCAGATCGTTTTTTGTATATAAAGCTCAGACATGAGTTATATGGTTTCAAAAGATAGATGGAGTTAAGGAGTTTTTATTGCTTACCGTCAATGAAATAAGTAAATAGGATTTTATTATATTTTTGGTCCTTTATGAGTTTTTACGGGTTATCTCTAAGGTTTTCGGTTTAGCACTGTTAAAAATGCTCTTAAAAAATTCTTTAATAGTCCAAATTTGTTAGAAAATCATTTCTGTTTTAAGTTTAGCGGTAAGTGATATTTGTGTGATGCGCACACCAAATTTTTTGCATACAGAATTAAATTATGTAGTATAAGTTCTTGTTTTAATACTAGTGATTATCTTATTTACATCTTTTTATTAATCAGATTTAAATTAATTATTGTTATGAGAAAGGAATGATACTACATTACAATGGATCTCATTGAACAAAAACATGAATTGCCAAACATATATTATGAACGTCATTGAACTCATCTATATAAACTCTAAATCTGCAAGAGCCTTTCATAATCGGTTTTGTTTTTGCCAAGTCATAATTCAACAACAGATTATAACATTACACGGCAAATCGATACAATCAAATTTTTTCACGACGTGAAACTAATTGGATAAGGTTAAGTTAAGTAAGAATGCTGGATGAGTGGCAAATAAACATTTTAAAAAATGACCTCTAAAAAAATTAAAAAGGTAACATTATTTGAGATTTTGAATAACAATTTTTGACCTGTTACCTATTTTCTTGAAAAATATATATCAAATGAAAAAGCGATTTGTAATCAATAAAATCTTTTAAAAAAAGAAGTTTTTTAAGGATTGAAGCATAAATGTGAATTCTTTATAAGTAAAGTCTACCTTATTAAGATGGCGTCTCTTCTGAATTCGAAATAGAACGTGATCATTTATTAATAAAAATGGAGTAAATAAATCTTCACTACAATGTTATAAGGAGCCAGCGATGTGTAATTCATAGCAACCTCAATTTTTGTTTATGATTTTTTTTTTAATTACTAATTTATTCAAATAGCGAATCAATTCTTCAAACGAAGATAAGGATCTCGTTCCATACCACACCTCTTCTGGACAAACTTCGAAGGGATTCTTCTCCGTGCCTCGTGCTAGAATAAAATCCCAATAATGGTCTGTTGTTATTGAAATACTTTCGAACAACAGACGAATGATCATATAATGGCTACGGAGCACAAAACAATATGGATGAAGTTTGCGAAAAATTCTTTATATCATTTACAGTTTGATAATTAAATAGTAGGAAGAAAGCGCTCAATAGAAAAATACAGCTTATTAAACCACAAATGGAAGATCGATTATCCCGGCAGTTACATAAGGAAACCCTAAAAAGTGCTAATCCAATACAGTGCTGTATACTACAGTCTGAGATGTCCCCGCCAGCTACCAACGACCTCTTGGCCTCAAGGAACGTAGCCAGCCCGGATCCTACAGAACCTAACCAGCCCAAACAGGAGCTTCGGCGCAAGTTGATCAGGGCCTGCACTGTCGTTTCCTATTTGACCCTCATCGGGAGCCTGGCCTTCTTCCTAGCCCTTTACTATGTTTTCATATGGAAACCCAGGTTCGCTAAACCTCTAATGAAAGTTTATTTTTGTTTACACAACTATAACATAAGACGATGCCTTGATATCAATGTTTTATCCTTTAAATGTGAAATATCGCATGTTAATTTCATTAAATATAACTATTTTAAATTGGACTGTGATATTTTACATTAATTGTAGAGATATTTTTGAATGATGGATAGAATATGGTCTTTTTTCTTTGGGAATCATTTCGTCATTCAACGAGCTTCTTTATCTATCCCTATCATATTATCACAGTGAGAAATTTATCACCTATGACATTAAATTATTAACAATTTTCCTCACAAACAGAACTGTCCTGTGGGTAAAGTAGCACTGCCTGGAAGGAGGAGAGGGGAGTGCCCACTGATGGAGTATATAAAACAAAATCAGAATAACATTATTTTATTTGTAATTAAAATTACCAGCCGAGTAGAGATTCACAACTTATCGGCCACTTGCCAAAGTGCTAAGGCATGAACCTCGTATAACATGATAAAATTGGCTACAGATCAATCTTATATTAGGAGGGGCGCCTGATGAAATTTTGTCCAGGTGTTTTCTGCTCTCTATATTATCTATCTATCCCTATATATACTGCTGTCTATATTATCTTTAGATTAAAAAACTCATTTCTACATATTGATTTTGTTGTCTGTTAGGTTTAACATCTTTATTAACTACAGCTAACAAAGTAAGGACAACATATCGAATTCACTCCAGTTGGTTCTTTTACGATTTGAATGTTAGCCTTCATAGAGCATCGATGATGAAAAGTAGGCGTAATTTCTATTGAAATAACATTAATTTATTTTGAAACAATTGTTCCGTCCCTCCTGATTATGCTACAGGTCTAGCACACCTGATCTAGATACCATTGTCCTCGACCCCCACCGGGTTTTGGGAGAGGTTTCGTAGTACGTTAACTAGATTAGCAGTTTTAGTCCTTAAATTTAGGCATTTTTGGTTTTGTATTTATTGACTATTAGTGTTCAGACTCTTCCCAAATGAGTGAACTAGTGTGGGGAATCAAAAATGGGGATTTGGAGATCGTCAAAGATTTAGTAGAGAGTAAGGTTAGTCTTGTTTCTTATCAATAAATGTTATGAAATCCAATTCATTGGGCCCTTAGTACTTTTAACTTATTGTTTTTGAAGTTCATTATTCCCATGCTTAAATACATTTAAATATTTAATCATTCTTTGTTGTGGGCGTTTCTCTTTTTATGTTATTGCAATGATTGAATTGTTGACAAAGATTAGATTAAGTCCATATTTTTTTTTATCATTAACTATCTTTCCCTGGATGTATTTATGTTTTAGGAAATAGATATCAACAAAGAAATTGATGGCAGGCCTCCCCTTCACTATGCTGCTGATTTCGGACAACCTCATGTCATTGAATATTTAGTATCGAAAGGAGCTGACATTAATGTAAGCTTTTCTAATTAATTAATAATAATCTTACATATACTCATAAGGTATTGAATCAACTTTTGTTTGCAGTACTAATATTTTTGGTTAATGTTTCAAATTATTTACAATAGGAGATACTAGTTCTCAATCACTACTGCTATAAAATGTGATTTCAAGATTAATTTTAGTATGCTGTAAGTGGAGCGAGACCCGAATGTAACCGAAAATAGACAGATGACTTGAACTCCAGCTCATGGTTGAAGAATGTTTACGTTTGGTTAGATCATGTCAGCTTGAGTCATTATCATGTTTACATCTTTTTATATAAAAAGAACAGCATGAAGTGTCATCAAAATGCTTGTCATCTTTCTATGAAATAAAATTAATTTTTATGATTCCAAACTAGGCTGATAAACATACTCTATGTTGCAGATTATCAAGAACAATCTGTAATTATGATCCTAGACATAAAATAATAGTAATTATGTTGAAGCATTGTTGCAATGTTAAGTAAATTAAGATTTTAAATCATATCTCTATACCCTTAAAATTATGATCCTTTTAATTAGTAATAAATTTTATGTGTCATTTATAATTTAATGTGATTTTTATTATTAAAAAAAAAATCAGTTTTTCCTTAGTAAAGACTGTACATTGTACATCCTATAAATATGTCATTAGGACAAGTCTGTTATTTGTATATGAACATGATAGTTAATATGTTCTCATAGTACTTTTGAAACCTGCTCATATCTTGGAGCAGTGGTTCGGAATTACTACCCATTTTACTCAACATGAAAGTCATGCGAAGTGTCACTTACTTATTTTATTTATTTGAACCCTACTGTGCCATTGAGGCAATACGGGTTTTGCAGAACTGGGTTGTTACACTTCACTGCACAACTGCCTGCTTCTGCAATGAGTCCAATTTCCATATTTAAGTCTGCTGTTTATGGCCTTATTCCGCTCCTCCTCATTCTGGTGGCCTCTCTAGCGCAGGTCCTCTTATGAGGTTGAAGTGTGCGGGTTCAATTGCTTCTTTCCACCCCTACACAAATATATCATTCACTTATGTCAGGTGGACCAAGATTACACCACTCATATTGTACATGAAATTCCTGGAGTAGCCAAATTATTTAATTTATGAATTGGTCTTCCACTCCCTATGCTCGTTTGGGCAGTGAAAAAAACCTTTAAGTGTCTTTTTCAATTGTTGGACCTTACCAAGCAGGGGTCCATGTTGATGAAGATGGTTCCTTTCAATTATCAAATATTTAAAAGCACTCATATCATACGCCCCAACCTCGATCTGAAAGGACCTATTTTGGGTTTGTTCTTCTCTCATTGGGACAAACATATCAAAGTAATAATGATTTTAGTAACTCAGTTAATCTTTTCTTAAAGGTCATTAATTTAACTGAACCTAACTTATAGGTACTGTATAATTATATATTTATCTGTACACGTGTTTAATAACCCGAATATTCTGTAATATGGGACCAATAGATTTTGTATAAATTCTAATATTTTCAGTAATCATGTAAAGTGTGATCATTGTCATCGTGACTTATTCCCCATACAGGAATAACTCTTCCTTAGAATTACCCCCAACAGTTCTCAGAATCTTCTTTGTTGTAAAATTCCTTTATTTATTTATTTGTATAAATTTTTTTTAAGGCAAAAGACAAACATGGTATTTCTGCTCTTCTTGCTGCCATTTGGGAAGGACATACTAGCTGTGTAAGGACTCTTTTGGACAAGGTACTTTTTTCATTCTACTGTGATAAAACCATTAATTTCTCTAAAAGAAGTTAAAGGCAATATTTTATAAATACTGGTTGTTCTCTGTGTGTGAGCGGGTGTAAACAGCCTAGCCCAAAAACAAAAAGCCATATTGAACTGAAATTACATTTTTAAAGTAGGTGTATATCTGGGATGTTACACCAACTTTTTCACCACTAACCGAAATTGGGACTTTTTATCATCAAATTTACACATTTTTACAATTTTTTTAATCTAATGATTTTGATTAAACTTGTTATATCAGGTTGGTATTATCCTCTTTGAAATATTCTGACATATTCGCATTGTGGAAATGCGTAGTCCTCAAATAGAGAAATTACAGCAGTATGAAAACTAAAATTTTATATATACCTAAGGGGCTGGGATGGTTGATCAGGTGAAGACACTTTAAATAGGTAGCCAATGTTAGGGCACATCGATTGAGCATGTACTTGGTTTGGGGACTGCCCTTTAGGGAAAGTCATGCTGCTTGAGACTCTCCCTCCCCGTGTTTGTGAGGCCCTGTCAACCTAATGGAGGCAACTCATACCAACCAGCCAAAGGAGTTATGTCCTTACCCTGTGTACTTTAATCAGAAATTGCAAAATAGTTTTCCAGGATGTCAGTAGCTGTCTAGAGGTTTGGTCCTTGGATGGTCTGTTTCTGGAAAAGAAATATAGGTTCTTGTGCACCTGCTGACTTTGAGCAGTCAGAACCCATGGATCTAGACCGATTAGTCACTGTCCCTGAATCCGAGCAAGTTGGTGGGAAGGGCACAGTCAGATTGTCTCCAAAGGGATCACCTATGGAGTTATGGGTGCCCTGCAGCTGCACCATAAATAAAGACCATGGACTATAGCTACGTGAAGTTGGGTGACCAGCTCCATGCTATCTGTGCTCCTTAAGAGGTAGGATGGCTGGGGTAGGCTAACTCATCATAGCGTTCGTTGCCCAGCAACCTGATGAAAGATAATTTGATAAAATAATTATTGTAAGCCCTTCCCGGTGGCGGAGGGCTTTTAAATCTGGCATTAGTCTCCTGCCCTCACCCCCTGTCCTGGGAAACCCTTAATAGCCAAAAAGGCAAGGGAAAAAAAGCTCTGTGCTCCCACAAGCAACATACATTTGTCAGAAGACTAAACTAATATCGAAATCAAAGATTGATATAGATATGTTGCTAACAAAAAAAAGAAAACCTATACCTATTTGATACATACCTATTAAAAATACACACAATGATCAAGAGTTTTCCTCTTATGTACTATACTATTAACTAGTGGATCTCAAACTTTATTTTGCAGACTTATTGGTCGAAACAAATTTCATGGCATTCTTGTCAGACCAAAAAAAATATGTGGCACCCTTATAATTAAATAAATAATTACAATATACATTTCCATACAGGAATGGATAGTGACACAAATTTAGCACATCAGAGGTATATGAAAAACATATTTTACTTATTATTTTAAATAAAATATTACGCCAGTGACTCAATTTACTACTGGAAAGGCATATATCCCGTCCACACCAGTGACTTAACTCTTAACGGGAAGACATGTATTCCGTCCGCAGTTAATGGGTTAAAACTGAACATTCCCAGTTTTATCAATTTCAATGAAACATTATTGATTTTGCTAAATACTGATTTGATTATTTTTATTATTGAATTTCTTTCCTTATTGTTTTTAACTTATTAGAAAGTATTACTTCATTTTTAAATAATTTTCAGACTTTCATGCTCTTGTTTGCTGGGCATTAATATTTATGCTAAGTATTAAAGTTATACTTTCTGGCTTCTGTTAAATTGCATAAGCTAACATGACATTTCTGAATAACGATGTCAGGTTGATAATAAGATTAATCATTACAGGTGAGTGCAATGGTTTGCTTTTACAAGAGTATGGATGATCTAAGTTTAGGTTGCCTAGCATGCTAAAATTGAGTTGATCGAGATTAATTGTTTGACTGCTGCTCACTCACTTTGCCTAACAATTTATAATAGTCATGGAAGAAGCACTTTACTTCTTTATAATATTTATTTTTCTGTTCAAGTTTTATTGCCAGATATGTTGATAACAAGCTCATTCTTTCCAATCATTAATTATGTTCTTACAATACTTTAATTAATCACTGCATTGCCTATAGGTGATATGACTTTGGTAAAGGTGTCATGTCATATGCCGTCCCTGCTAGAAGTCATACGATTACTTTTTTTTTCCAAAATTTCATCGTTCACCACTTTATTGTTGATTCCTTATCATCCAACCTTCATAGTTTCCAGCATCACTTTCCTTATCGGCTAATCTTCCTGTAACTGACCCTCTTCACTCTAGGTGGAAGTGTGCTCAATCCAAAACAGATTTCCACCTGTACGCAAAATCTTTGTAATACAGGTACTTGTTTCTTATCAAAGCTGAAGCAGCTATTTTTCCGTTTGGACATTGCATTCATGTTTCCTTCATCAACTTGGCTCTAGGTTCCTCACATACTGTCATCTGAGTACAGGCAATGACTACATGGTCGGTCTATGGTTTGCCATATCTGGAACATAATGAGTCGATATCCTGACCATGTTTTTGATGCTTGTCACAGAAGCATCTATGCCTTGTAGGTAGCTGTGATATCCAGATATCTTGTAAGATCCAAAAAGTAGCTTGACTAGACCTAACGGTTTGGAAATACTTTCTCAGGATTTGTCCCTTTTCAAGGTTTGTTACCTTCCATTGGTTTCATTTATTTTATGCAGGGCGATCCAAACTATGGCTCTCAAACTCCTTCAATCTGACCAATTAAAGTTTCTTTTATTACAAGGTAAAATTTTATATACTGTGTTAGAAAATATAAAATATGTATATCACTTAAACTGGAGGTTACTACAACATTTATTGTACAAGTTATTTCTCTTAGAAAGTTAATTTCATAACTGAAGGGCCATCTATAGAACAAGATTTTTTATTTCTATTCAATTCATGGCCCACAGGACTTAGTGGATGTCTCAATGCAGCCCAGGGGACCTAATGGAGGTCTTAATGTGGCCTCAACGGTCAAAAAGTTTAGAGACCCCTCATTTATATCCTACCAAATAATCTTTTTCTGATTCCTGGGATCTGAATCAAGCTTTCCCAAACATTAAACCTAAATAAACTTGGAGAAACTATGGGGTTTGAACATTCATGGTTAAAGTTCAATTATTTATTTTTCACAGGATTATTTATTCAACTATCTCATCTACGGTTAATTAGGCACTGTTCTCTCCTCGAAGGTGCCAGCTACTTAAAAGTTAAAGTGATTGTATTGGAGAATGAAATCTGCTTAACTTAACTTCCTGTAAATATAGCTTTTCCTAATCAATTATAACCTTTTGCTTTTTAAACGTAACTTTTTCCAATTTCATTGTAACTTTTTTGTTTCAATTCTAATCCAACTCTGGGCATAAATTAATTTGTAAATATTATGTTTTTATTTATGAAATAGTTTTGATTTTGGAAATCTTATCGCTGTATTCTTACATATTTATTTTTATATATTTTTTTTATTTATGGGATAATCAATATTGAGTGGTAATTTCAACTAGTCAAATTTAAGATGACAGAAATCAATTGCAATAATTTAATTTAAATTACATCCAATGTACAATAGGAAATACGATGGTAATTTTGCGATTAGTATTCTAGAAAATATAAAAAAATATATCTTCGTCAAAGAATTCTATCAAACTAATAATTAATTTGTAATACTTGATATCAAAATAAAATTTGAAAAACCAATGAAAGATCGCTAAGTTAATGAAATATACACCTCCTTATGTTTAAAATAAGTTCTGATTGTAGTAATAAAAATAAATTATTATATTTTTTTTTGCAATTTTAAACCTCATCAGTTTAAATTAACACATATCAGTTACCCAGCAAACGAAAAAAGTATTGTAAGAATGCTGTGAAATTATTTCAAAAGTTATTATCAAATCAAAATAATTATTTTTCAATAAAAAGATAATATTTACTTAATTTCATATCGGTTGGGTTCCAATTGTATTGGGAAGAATTATTTATGAATTTAAATTGAGAATGGTTACATTTGAAATGGAAAAGGTTATATTTGGAATTGAAAAAAGTTACAATTTATATGGAAATGCTCTAGCTAAGTTGCTACAAGTTATAAAACAATGTTTTTGTTTTTCATGAATACTAGAATTTTTATGATCCTAAAAATGACAATATTCCTAGATATAAAATTAATGTTGTGAGGAGTTATATGACCAAGATATTATCTCAACTACTTTGGGATGTCTGGTCTATTTCAAAAATATTGAACCAAGCCTCAAATTAATTTATTATTTTTCACTTACAAATATTTAACCATTTACTATCATTTTAGGGAGCAGAGAAGATTGGTTCCGCTCCAGATGGAACAAATTACCTAGACTGTGCAGATAAAGCTGAAATCAAACAGCTTCTTCAATAGGTTTCTTGGAAATATTTTTTTAAAATACCTATTTATTATTTATTAAAAATAACATTAAAAAATAATTTGTTTATTAATAATGTGAGTTATTTGAATTTTATTTTTTTAGTATATTCATTTCTAAATGTTTTCTCTTCTATTTATATATTCATTAGTGTTGGTGTTTTATTTTTTATAGGCTTTTTTTTTTAATCTTGCTTAAAATCCAAAGATTTAACTAATTTAGTTATAGAATTAAATAGATCTAAGCAAAAACTCTTAATGTCGCTGAATCAAATATTTACTTTATAAAATCATGGTAGAAGTATTTTTATTAAATATAAGGAAGGTTGTATTAATTGTATAATTTTAAGAATCCATGTATATTTGTATGGTTAATATCCTTCAATTTTTGTTATGTCTGAAGAATTTCATATGTAATTTTGTATCTTTAAACTTGAATTCTTGAAAATTGTTTTAACATTTATTAACTTTTCAATGTTAAAATTAAACTGATCTTGTTCTTTCATTCAGTTTGAAAATTGTTTTCTTTATATAATATAATTAATTTCCAAATGCTAGAAATTTAATAAATTGCTCATGCTTGGAAATTAAAAGTTATGTTTTAGAAAATAGGAATATTGCTGTTTTAAAAACATAGTATTTGTTAAGATGAAGAAATCGTTAGTCAGTATTATATTTTTTGAACTTTTTATTGATTTTGAACAAAACTATACTTGGTCAAAGTAAAGAAATACATTTCTTTAGGCATTAAGTAAGAAGTTAAAAAACAAAATTCTATATATAGAAGTTAAAAAAGTCTACCTAGAAAGTTTGTTGGGAAATTTCAATTAAACAATGAAAAGTAATAAATTTTAATAATAATAAAAGTGCGATATATTCGTCTTTAAATATTTTTTCTTTATTTAGTTATTCATTACAAATAAATATATTATTTAAGCCTACGAAAAGTTGGCTTAATTCCGTTTCATTGTTATCATTGCTAAAGCTTTTACAATATTATGTTCCAACAAAGTGTAATTTATGTTTCTGTTTTAATTTTTTTTTTTTAAATCAAAATATTCTAGTTTAATATGTTATTAGTTTTATGAAATATTTTGCTCTATTTCCATGAAGCCTGACAAAACAAAGTATTGCTTAAAATACTTGCATTTTTTCTTTGAAGTTTTACATCTGTGGATTTCTTAATCTTTAGACTGCTTCTCTTTCATACAACTAATTAATATTTTGTTCTCTGAATTTCTAGCAGAGTTAAGAAAGATTTGATAGATCTTATCAATGTTTGGCCAAATAATTTGATAGAAGATTCTTACTTAGAGTAACTACTATTTATTGTAAATAAACATGCTTTACTGTTTTAAATATCGTTTTTTGACAATATTTTTTATATGATTGAGAAATTAAAATGTAGGGCAAACCTTCTCCTTGATCATTATCCTACTTTGTAATACCACATCATATAATTATAAAATATAGTTTATATGGAAATATTTATCATAAAGCATCATATTTATATTGTAAATGTAATATTTAAAAATTAAATAAGTATTATTTTTACTTAAATATTTATTTTCATTATTTTTCCCAACTTTTAAGTTTTCAGTTTAATGTTGTTTCTGTTAAATTTGAATTGGTTAATTAAATCTAAAGGAAAATATAGTTCTTGACTTCATGGGAATCATACGCCTCTTCATGCAAGAACCGGTCAATACAAGTAGTCAATGTGAAAAATAATTGAGTGTGTTTTATATAAACAGCAAATTTTTGTGTTCATGTATGTCTTTTTTAAGTTTGTTTAATTTTAATCTAACTTTATATGCCTTTAATTTTGTTTATCATTATTATACATACTGAATATTTTAATTAGTATATAAGTTTCAGTTTATAGCTTTTAAGCTAAGAAATCCGAATAAAGAAGTTTACCGGAAATATAAAAAGTGGAGTATAATTTAGTAAAAAAACACCTTAAGGTGAAGCTAATTACAACAAAAATGATTCTTGTAAATTGTTGGCCATATGGGCCTGATTAACATTATAAAAATATACATCCACTCTCCTGCAATTTGTTTTTTAACCATCTAGAAAAAAAAAACACTTTGAAAGTAATAAAAAATCAAGTTAAGTATCAAATTGTAGCAAATTTCATGCTGAAAAAGAATATGATTTTGTTAAAAATATAAAACAAAGGAAATAACTAAATAGTGGACAAAAAATTAAAAACTTTTGTAGTATTGAAAAACATATTTTTAGTGTTGTCTATTAAAAATTTGAAAAGAAATGGAGGTAATGTAAAAAAATAAATCAAATTTTAATAATTAAAGTTAAATGGAGAATTATATTTTAGATGCATATAGTGAGAATACAATTCCAAAATGTGAAGATCGTGAATATAAGATTTTGGATTTCATAACGTACTTAACAGTAGAAGATTTACTTTTGTCAAAGGCTGTGTGTGTGGGAGACTCCATAAAAGTGTTGTAGGGAACATACAAAAAGTAATGTACAGACCCAGGAGGCAGTTATGATCTACATGAGATTAATAAAAACCATTTACTATATGACTTATTCATTATTATACCTGTTAAACAATCAATTATTGAACAAAACATTTTTATTTTTCCATTGCAATGAATATTTCATCAGGTATATTATCTACAATATAGTTATTAACACAGATCGATCTCCTAAGAACTAACAATAGAAGGCAAAATATTGGGTGAGGAATTTTAAAATTTCAATTTAAATGACAATTTTTATTCAACTATTTTGGAGATGCACAAATTAATTATTGACTATGTCTATCTCTCTAAAAAAAAAAAAAAAAAAAAAAAATGGGATTCGCGTTTGTATCAGTATAATATGTAAAAATACATCTTTTATTTTATTTTATTTTTTACCTAATCTTGACTACATATCAGGTTTTGTAAAAATAATCCTACTTAAGATAGACTATTTTAGTTTGGTTTAGAAAAAATATTCATATTTTAGATACAGCTGTAAAATGGGTAAAATAAGTGCTGGCCTTAGACAGTCAGCGCCCTCTTGCATTAACATAATTTTCACCACCTCTCCCCTCCCTCTCCCCCCCCAAAAAAAATAGATTTATTTCTTAAGCTATTTTGTATGATGTAATATTTGAATTCTATTTCATTCAATATTGCTCTAATCCAGTTGCTTCATTGACAGGCTAAAATTAATTAATGTAATACGTTTTGTATATATCTTTTATTTCTAGCAAGTGGTGTGCGCTCCTGAAGATCGACGCTCCAGTTGCCTGGCCCTAACCAAACTGTATTGTGTACACTATTGAAACAATTATTACTAACCAAATGATCGCACGATCTTAGAACAAAATATGGAATTTGTGAAAAATTCCTGGTGAAGAGCAAAATTTTATAAATTATATCCCGCAAAAACCTACGGCGGTGCGACTAGAAGGAGCTAGTATCACCAAAAAAAGTTTCATAGGTGATAAATTGTCAGAATGCAGTCGTTTTTTTGGTGCCGACGTTTCAACCCTATTTGATCACCTTCGGTACTCGAAACACGCCCTGATGATGACCCACATGTTTGGGTTGAAACGTTGGCACCAATAAAACCCTTAAAAATGACTGCGTTCTGACTATTTATCACCTATGATATGTAGAACAGTCGACCCTCAATAATTAAAAAAAAGTGTCATTGAAATAGAGAGATTCCCCGTCCATAATCTCCTCTTGTTATTGATGAGAAAATCTTGTTATTACCTTATTTTACTGTAGATTTAGTAAAAATATTAATAAACCAAAAAAATCAAGGTATGTTTACATGAACAATTATGATTTGTTTCCACTCATTTTAATGTTTCATTTATAATCAGATAAAATTGAAAGTGATTTTAGAATTAGATAGAAAAAAAATCACCAAAAGAAATTCTAAAAACTGTTTCACCCTAAAGAAAGCCTCTGACGACTTTTGAGCCCTAAAAAACAAACCAAAGGGTAAAAAAAAAACCTCAACTAGTGGAGGAAAAATCCAAGTTGGTAATCTTGGATGGGCATTAATCGATATTGCAGATGCTACATCGATAGTTTAAACATTATTATTAATCGTTCGAGAACGGTTACCGATTTAAATGATTATGTTAGCAGTAGCGGTTCTTTTCCCGCGTTTTGAAGTCTGAGAGATAACTTAATGTTTGTGACATCTCTTACTTAGTTAATTCTGTGAAATTCGTGTTGCTTTCAGTAATTTTGGTTTATGATATTGTTTTTAATTAATAAATGCTACTGAAATGAATGATATACCTGAACATGTTATTCATGACCGAAAAAATGTTGAGGTGTTTTATATACCAGATACTTTAATTGATAATATAATTAGTCATGTTGGAGATAAGGCAGATGGGCCTAGTGAGTAGCTTTATTCCCAATTTTAAAGCCCTTATAATTAATCCAAAGTTTATTGGATTTTTATGTTAATTACTATTAATTTCTATTGAGTTAATCCTTTAAATTTGTTGTAAATTTTTTTTGTAGATTATATATATTATAGTTTTTAAATTAATGTTAATGTTATTCCTTAAAAGGAAGTGGAGTAGCTCATTGATAGGGCACTGATCTTGCAATTCTCAAGATCCTGGGCTCGTAACCTGGCTCATGGCAGAAAAATGATTTAATCTGTCCATCAGCTGTGGGGCGATCCTGGGATCAGGAGTCCCGCCTGGGACATACCCAGCCTCTTTAAAGTGGGTACCCTTAATGAAGTAATTAGATAAGGGGGGAAACCTGGTGTTTGAGCATGATCTTGCACAGCTGTTGATTAAGGAACAGTACTGAACCCAAGACCTTTCATGGGTTGTAGTAATACAGGTGTTTGTGTTATTCCTTAAAACAATAATACAAGTAATGTTGATTTATGAGCAATAAATTCTATGTAATAACTGTACTTAATGTGCCTAAAATTTATTTTTCATTAATTATTAGTTCGAGGAAGAAGATGCAGAAGGCCAAATGGTACGATGGAAAAAGAATGTACTAGCAATTCACCATCATCCACTGTCAAATTTACTAGATCTGGCCGTAAGATAACCAGCAGGTTTCGAAGACTATCATTGAATGATGACAGTTGTAACAATACTGACTGTAAAAGCGATTTGAATGGTGATGTTGATGTCGAATTATCTAAGCCTGATGGTAAATATGTAATAAAAAAACTATTTTGTTTATTAATGTCCTACTTCAATCTAGAACTTGTGATCATTTTATGGGTGATAAATATTCAGGACGCAGTTATTATAAAGATTTTATTGGTGCCGACGTTTCAACCCAAACATGTGGGTCATCATTAGGGCGTGTTTTGAGCACTGAAGGTGTTTCAGTTCTTACTAATAGAGTACTTGAATACCTTCTGTGCTCGAAACACGCCCTGATGGCGACCCACATGTTTGGGTTGTAGCGTCGTCACTAATAACATCTTTATAATGACTGCATCCTGAATATTTATCGCCCATGATATGTAGAACAGTTGACCAACTTCTTTCAATTCTTTAATTTTTTAAAGCTAATATTTATATATTTTTTTCTTAGTTCTTAATCGCTACTCCAAGATGATGCCATTTTGAGCTATATTGATCACACTTTAGATCAAATCCCAAGTAATGCCTAAATTCTAGTTCTTTCAGATACTCTTAGATGGCGACTGATTTATATTTAACCCAAAGCAGTCTCAAGAATGTCGATTATGTCTATAAGTAAACATAGCCGACTTATCCCTTACCCTTGGGATTTAGTAAATTATTCTCCATTTTAAGGTACTATTTCGCTGGTACTGCCCATGGCAGCGAGCACAATTCTATACTGCCAACCGTTAATGCTTGTCTATTTCGCTGATAACTGCTCACCACTGCTTTCAAATAATACTATCAATTTAGCATCCTAGTTTGAAATAATTTTAAATAAAAATGTTAGTATTAAATTTAATGGTTTTTATTTGCATCGGAAGAATAGCATTACATATGATTTCAGAGTTTCGATCTTATTTAATTAATACACACCATTTTAGGTGGTAGTTAAAGTTGAATAATAAGGTTAGGTTATGTCTATCCTGTAAAATGTTAATGATTATCTACATATTAATGCCCACCTTCTACTAAATAATAGTTTCTTGTAATATTTTTAATATAAGCCTTGTGATAGAAAGAAGATGATAAAATATTATTTTAAGAACTAGTAGGCCCGTGCTAAAAATTCGCACAGCATATTGTTATCAAATGCCAAATTAATAAGAAAAGAAAATAATGCAACGTATCAAAAGATAAAGGAATCAATTGTTACTTTATCGAGAAATATAATCGACAAAGGAAACAAAATTAATTTAAATCTTCATTTTTGTTTGGAACCAACATATTTACAAATTTCAATAAGCTGTATCTTTGCAAAAAATTAACCGATTTCAATAATTTTTTTTTTCCTTTTGTAGACAATTTAGTAATGTTTTATATAATCATGGGAATAACCAAGGGAAAAGTGTGTAATTTTTTAGTTATTCGCAAATAAAGTTTCTTTTATTTCATAACTTGTTTGCCTGAGTTTTCGGGATGATTGGACTATTTTGCCCGCCTGAAGAAGAAGGAAGTCTTCGAAACTGGTGGCTCACTCTTGAGATTTGGTGAATAATTAACGATGAAATGGCTTGCCGATCAAAAACACCATCGATAAATAATATAAACTCCTCCTGTCTCGATCATAGAGACCTCAAGTCGACGAAATGAGACATGTATCCAATGCCAGTACTACAATTAACGTCAGGTTGTGGGGATGTGAACCCCATGCCTTGCGTTATCTCGAAAATAGTACATTTTTGGGCTTAAAAACGCAGGATCCAATAGTTTCAGAGGAACTATCAGGGTCTTGCTGTATCCATCAAAATCTTCAAGGTCCAATTTGTCCCACATCGATCTACAGACCTACCACCGTTCCAGTATTGAAGCCTAGAAAAATGTTTGTATCAACTTTATTTATTTTAGAAAGAAAACCAAAAGCGGAGAATACGATTCACTAACCCCCTGTGAAATTCTGTATCCAACGGTTCCCCATTCATGGTATTTGAGCATGACAGGAGCTTATATTTGGTACAAAACCGATTTCGAGCCTTACTGTAATAATAAATGTGGGGATTTAGGATTTATCTGAGATTTTAAATTTATTACTTATTATTTTTATTGGCATTAGTAATTATTATTAAATAATTGATTAGTAATAAATATCATGTATTTGTAATGAAATCATATCAGGCAATGTTTTACCAAGAGTTATTCAGTAAATAAGATTGTAATTGAAAAATACAAATTAATTTTTCAATGCCTGAATTCAGGTATATTTGCTATGCCTCCTCAGTAAAATACTTTTGGAACAATAAAAAAACTACTTATACTTCAACCGTTAAAAAATTATTTACTTTAGCTTTGTTTAAATTTTAAGCAATATTTCATTTAATTTTGCCTCACTTGTTGAGGAAAAAAAGTGACTTATCATTAAAACAATGTGTCGATATGTTAATATAGCCTATATCCACGGTACTGCCAACACCTTCACTGCTTCAGGAGAGGTCAGAAAATAGCAGTATAGATATGAACTCATACCTAGATATGCTTCTCTCTCATCAAACTTGAGTTTATCACTCATAATTTATGTAGCCCGCTCGGCCACCCTGAGCATATTTTATTTAATTTAAGATATGCTTTCAATAAATGGAGTTTGAAATGGAAAAATAATTATTTCTATTTCATCTGTCTAACTTGCAGTGTTTTTTCAGTTGTTCCAGGGAAGTTATTTGAATCTAATGATGTTGATGGAAAAGATATCTTTTCATTTAGAACACCGAACCGCCAAAACAGATTGACTAATAAAACTGGAGAGGTTCAGCCCAAAAGTAGTGAAACTCCTAAGGGTAAAATGTCAAAGACAATCTGGACTCCGAATGCTTCTGAAGTAGTGAAAACCAATACCTCCAAAACACCCTATAGTTTGAGAAATCAGCTTAGAAAGCGTAAGTTTAATAGTTTATATTAGTACATCTCCATTATCTATTTAGTTAACATCTTATTTTTTCAGAATCAATAATTCCATTTAGCTTAAGTGCCATTTTAATTAGTTTTGCTCTTAATAATAACATAAGTACACTCCTTTTAAAAAACAATGGCATGTACATTTTAAAAAATACTTATAGAACTTATTTAATATTACTTTGCAGTATAATAGTTAACCATAAAAGCTTGCCCATAAGATCCATTTATTGCGTTTAAGCTTATTAGTTGCACTTATGATATTGTCCAACCATTTTTAGGGCTTGTTGATGAAGCAGCAAAACAGGAATTGGATAGGTTACTAGAGGATAGCGGTAGTGACTTTGTTCCATCTAGCAGTTCTGATAGTGAATCAGAATCTGATTCAGATTCTTCAGGCACTTTTAAACAGGAGGAAGAAGACACTAAATACCCAACACCACCTAAAAAATCAAGACAGCAAATAAAAGATTATGTTAGTACTTAACAAATAATTTATCATGAATAATGTGTTTATTAGTACATTTTAAGTTATTTTGATTGATTGAAAATTTTCAGTGTTAACTAAGTGGTATTAACCCAGAAAGTTAGGTGTTGTATCACTGATGATACGCAGCCATTGTCAGTGGAGTAAATAAAATGAAACCAAGGGAACCACGCATAATTATATACAAAAAAAAAAAAAAGAAAATTCAATAGATATTAATGATCTAAATTTCGACAATCTGGTTGATTGTTTGATGAGGGAGCAGGATGACCAAGTAGACTAACACTAGGTGTATAGCACCATGTTGCCCGGAAACCTGATGAAAAATAATATGATAAAATAATTACGAGTTCATGTCCCGGTTCCAGGAGGAGAGGAGGCTTTTAACTCTGGTATTAATATTTGCCTACTAGCCCGGGAAAACCCCATAAGTCTAAAACGTGAGGAAGGGAAGGACAAAAAAGACAAATAAATAAAATAAAGGTTGGTTGGTTAGGTTTTTTTTTTTTTTTTTTTGTATAGCCTGTTTTTAAAAGTATTACACCTGTAGGCCTCCCCAATTAAGAGGGTAATGGTCTAACTTCCCGCGGAGACCAGCCGTATTGGGAAGTAGGGCCGGGATTCGATCCTGTGATCTTTGCTTTACTAGTATAGTGCGCTAACCACTCTGCTATACGGGCCCCTTGGTTAGGTATATGAGGCATTTGTGGGTGGAGTGGCCGAATGGGCTAAAGCGTGTGCACTGCACCGCTGTTGCCTGGCAACCTGATCTATGAATCAAAGATATAAAAATAGTCACGAGTTCGCGTCCCAGTGTCAGGGGAGTCTTTTAAATCCCCGCCCACACTCTCTGGCCCGGGAAAATCCCATATAGCCTCAACGACGAGAAAGGGAAGGACCAAAAAAAAGTATATGAGGCATTAAAATTAAAAAAAAATTCTATTGAAAAAATAATTTTACAACATAATTAGTTACATTTACTGATTTTGACTATATTTTATTAACATACCTCTTCATTTCTACTGTGGACAGGTGCATTCTTTCATGATTTCTTTACTTAGCCGTTTGGTCAATTTACTTGTCTAAATTAAAAAAATATTGGTTTATTTTGGTTTCATCATTGTCTTATAGTAAATATTTAATTTATTTTAATCTTACAACTACCTAATTTATTTAAACAATTGTACTGTTAAATTCATTTCTTGCTCATTTCCATGATGTTCATTAATAAATAAAAACTGATATAGATAGGTAGAAAATAAATTTTATTCTGGGACAGAGTCCCTTAAGAATAACAATTATGAACAATAAACAAATCTGGCCAAAAACTACATTAATACAAATTAAACAATATATACAATATTTTTTATTATTATTATTTCTTAATGATATTTACAACTGTATTGAATAAATACATCTAGTAAATTTGAACATAATGGATATAATGACATGAAAACACTTTCTGAGTAACTACCCAATGGTAGCACTCTAATGATATGTCTACATTAGGAGATCACGGAGCCATCTTCTTTTCAAACGCCTCGGAGGGTTATCAGGAATTGAAGAGGAAGCAGGGTTAGAAACGAGAGGGTTGGGATGATTCTGAAGTTTATTATGGAAGGATAGGTATCTGAATTGGGCCAGATCATATACAATATTTAATTTAAGAATTTAAACAATTTTTTTTAATACTGTAAACTGGGTTTGCTTTGGACTAGTGAGTGACATCACTCTAAAACTGATTTTTAATGTTACACCTGCTGATTTGAAACATTTTTATAATATAATATTAATTTGGGATGTTTCACAGTCAATAGCATTTCTCTAGAATCTATTTTATCTACACAGCTTATATAAATGTAGTAACCTGTGCTACTATTCTAAATTGTATGTCCTTCCTATTGGTTTTTGTCGTCTCATTCTTTGTGGTAACTAAATTAGGTCAGTGAAGTAGGGTCTATAGCCAGCTCAAAAAATTTTCCTCCAAAAGGGGGAACAAATTTTTTAATTAATTTTTTTTCATACTGTTTTTTTTTTTTAAAGAATTATATCATTCAAATTTTTAAAATACTGCCCCCCTCTGTAAACCAGTTCTTTTTTAAAAAAATATAGTTTATATTTGTTGCTATTATATTTTAATTTTTTTCTGTGAGGAGCAACTGTCCCACCTTGTCCTCCTGTCAGTGAATTATTTTCTGATATATTACCAGTCGTTCTGCTGTTTACTATTAAACATTTTTTATAAATTTTTATCTTGAAATCTAAAAGATATAAAAATTTATCTTTTCTAGTTAAATACTCAATGCATGTATTACTGTATTATTGCATGTATTATGGTACTGATTATGAGATAACAACTATGGAGATAGCTGGAAAGTTTTGAAAATGGCCCAGCAAAGAGGACAAAATATAGTACCTAAAAAAAGGAAGATGTTTCAGTGAAGATCATATTAAAACCGACTTGAAGTTCTAGCAGATAATAATAATTTATAGATTTGTAAAAATGTTTTTTCAGAATAATTATGATTTGAATAGTTGAAAATAATGAAGTTACAATCCATTAATAATAACTGATCCTCCTCCCCCCTTAAATCCAATTACTTTTGCTTGTATGAATTCACTGATTTCTGAATTCATTGTTTTTAAATTAGAAATAAAACAAGAGTTAAGTACTAATTCTGTACCCAAGTAATTCCCCAAGTTTACAGTATGTTTTTATTATACATCATTTATATAACATTCATTCCTGTTTTTTTTTTTTTTAATTTATAGGTATTTACCTCTGAAGACTATTTTGACCGCCAATATTCAAAAACTATGACCTCTAGTCACACTCTTAAACAATTAAAAACTCCTAGGTTAGCACATAGCCAGCTGACATCCTTGCTGAAAATGGTACCATCTACTCATGAAAAATCTCTAGGTTTTCTAAATGGAGGAATAAAGAATTCTTTCAGGCATTGGTTGTTTTGTTTTAGGTTAGTACTTTTTTTCTATTGATTCTTCTTCTAATCGAACTTGCCCATTTTAAAAAATATATTTCTTATTACAAAGGATCTTATTAATGTTCCTTATTATTTATAAAAAAAAATTATGTTATGAAGTGAATATATTGGAAATATGAAGATGCTCTGTGATTTCTTGTTCAAATTCAGGAATTAGATTATAAGAAATAAAGTAAAATTATTTTATCTTGAATAAAAACTTTGTAGTTTCTATTTCTCTGCTTTTAATGTTTGTTAAAATTTGAGTAAGAAGCATACAAACATTTATATTATTACAAGTTTCTTTCTTTCTTTATTTTAGAACGTTTTCCAAAAAAGTATCATAGTATTGTTAATATGCAACTTTTTAAAAAAGTTCCATAAAAGTTATTAATAACAATAAAACTTTATGTATAAACATAATTTTATAGAAGAAAAGAAAAAAACGTTGCAGCTTCTTACAGAATGATTCATTATTTCCAAATAGACAACTCTTACAAAAAAGTGATTCCAAATCAAATTAAAAATAATTTATATTTTGTTTTTACTCTGGTATAATTCTAAAACATTTTTTATATTGATTGTATGTTTAACTATCTTCATAAACGATCATGAATATGAGCAAATGAATCCTAATCGTCCACTGTATAGAAATAAAATAGTGGATAAAGATATAATTCTATTGTTTTTTAATCTAAAAGTAATAGACTAATGTGAATTCTTCCGATATAAATAAAATTGAAAAACATAATGATTACCATAACAGAGTATGGGTAAAGAGGGATTTAAATGAGCTTAAAGGGATTCTAAGATGACACTACCAGATCTGAGAAAACTGGTAGTGAAGGGTAAGATATTGTAGAATCCACCAGCAGCAAGTAAGCATTGATTAGGCTACCCTACCTATTCACCCTTATGTATAATGATTTGGTGGCATGGCATTCTTGGTGAATATCAAAACTTATAATTATTAACTAGAAATGAAAAATTTCTGTAAGACACAATCAATTTGGTCGTCATATCCTTCTTAATCTCAGTGACATCAGCACTGTCCATTTTGTGATGTAAAAAAAAAAATAAATGAATATGGTGTTAAATAATTAAAACCAGATTTGCAGGTTACAACCATTACAGGTTGGATAAGGAGGGAAAGAGTAGAGGTGGTGGTAGCCGGAGATGTTGCACTTTTGCTCCCTACATAAATATTGAACTTTGAGAAATAAAATTAATAATTTATGCATTATTGTTTAGTATTCAATCTCATTGATTGCCTCAACTTCCCTCAGTATTTCAGAAATGTATTGTATGTAAAATAAAAACAGATCTATAGGATTCCTGAGTTATATTTCAAGTTGTGTCTCCAAAATCAGTAGTTTTTACACTTATAGTAGTACAATGATAGTAATAATTTGTAAAATATTTTTTTTATATTTATTGCATATTAATATAAGATAAGACCTAGCTGCTCTTTGGCTTGTAAGGAAAATATATCAAACATAACTGCAATAAATGATATCACAGTTAAAGATTGAGTTCACAAGTAAAAAAAGAGCTTTTTCAAAATTAGGAAGGCAAATGGAAAACAAAATGAGCTAAACCATAAGAAATAAAATCTGAGTGCAACGACGAATGGGTCACAAGCACAAGAAAATCAAGAAGAGAAAAAATTGTATTATACCGAATAGGAAATGGGCACTGCCTGTTTATACATGGGTACCTCCTTAGAGGTCCAGAAGGAAACTATTTAGAAAATTTTTTTTTCAGTTTAATAAAGCAAAAATATATAATGATAATAATAATAATTTATTTATTCTGGGATGAGTCCCTTTAGAATAATACAGGACAGTAATATGGGCTAAGGAGCCTCAGAGATACATAAAAAGAAATGCTGAGTAATGAAATAGTCATATTAAGAAATTATAAATTACCTTCTAACTTGAGTAAGTTAATAATGAAAAATTGAAAATAAAGTAAAAATAATGAAGAATAATCTAATAATTTATATACTTATGTACAGTGGTATCTATTTACAATTTTATGGGGACTGGATGGATAAGAAATGATTGAACAGGCGGGATTTAAAGATAGAAAGAGTATTGGATTGACGGATGTGGGAAGGGATGGAGTTCCATAGGGATGAAGATTGGAGGAGCAGCTGTTCGGTGGGCCTTATGTATAAATCAGAAGACCTGGAACGGTTATTGCGGGAGCGAACAGAGGATTTGAATTGGAGGAGATCAGAGATATGTAAAGGTCGGTGGGATTGGATGACTTGAAAGAGATATAGTACACAGTATTGTCATTAGTACAAAGTGACTTCTTGGAAGACTTTCATACTAATTTCGGTGTAAGATAGGGAGACGCTCTAACCTGTCTTCTTTTTAACTTTGCTGCAGAGAAAGTGCATATGAATCCAACTCCATGCAATCCTTAACAGTACTGTTCAACGCCTTGGGTATGCTGATGACTTTTATATTGCTGCCAGATCAGAACGTGCATTAAGATAGTCGTTCTTGGCCATAGAAGATGCAACAAAGAAACTTGGGCTACATATTAATGAAGCTAAGACCAAGTATATGAGAGTCGGAGGAGATGGGCAAGGGACCGGTTCTTTTGTGGCTGGACCATATAATTTTGAGAAGGTAAGCAGCTTTTTTCTACCTCGGGTCTGAGATCAACTCCGAAAATGACATCTCTTGAGAAGTCAACAGGAGAATAGCAACAGCGAGACGGTGCTACTTTGGCCTTGTTAAGCATTTTAGAAGCAGGTTCCTCTCTAACAGGACCAAGATCATTCTCTACCTAACCTTGGCCCGCCCTGTTTTAACTTATGGATGAGAAGCGTGAGCCTTTAAGAAGTAAGATGGAAATAGACTTCTAATCTTTGAGAGATCAATCTTGAGAAGGATTTTTGGTCCTGTTAGAGAGGGTGGAATTTGGAGAAGAAGGAGAAATGCCAAACTCGTTGGCCTCTATAAATATATAGACTTGCTCGAGTTTATCAAGATAGGATGACTTCGAGAGGCACGTTGCACGTATGGATGATTTGGCGATATCCAGGAGTATGCTGTCCGAAAAGATTTATGGACAAAGAAAGGTTGGCAGGCCAAATGTAAAATGGGAGGACTCGATGACATTGAATGCACAGGCTTTTCTGGGAGTCCGAAACTGGAGAGCTGCTGCAGCTGATTGTATCGACTGGCGAAAGCTTCTGAAGGAGGTCCAGTCTAGGTGACAGGATTTAGCATCATCTATGTATGTATATACAGTATTGTCATTAGAATTAGTTTGCATTAATAATTTAATTAAGTAATATTCTGAAGATTTAATAACTTTAAAAAATAATTTATATTGAATGTAGGATGGTGAATGAAAGTTGTGATTGCACCAGATTTTAAACATCATTAATTTTTTTTTAGTGAAGGTTATAATGTATTGCTTTATGGGCTTGGTTCTAAAAGGAGAATTCTATATTCATTCCATTATAAATACCTCCAAAACAGCAATGTTCTTTGTATCAACGGCTATTTCCCTGACAATTCTATTAAACAGGTAATTATACTAATTAAAGCTATGAACATATTTAAATTATCATTATACTTACTTATATGAATAGTTTTATTTCAGGTTTTAGATACTATTGCTTCTGATGTCTTAAAAATTCAAAATGTTCCTACTCAATTTCATGAGATTGTGGAGGCAATTAGTGACAAACTAAAAAGTAAATATGCGAAGAGGCTTTTTATTTTAATATCAAATTTAGATGGCAAGCCTTTTCAAAATGATAAGGCTCAAGCAGCTTTTGCCGAGCTATCTAGAATTGAAAAAATACATATGGTTGCCACAATTGACCATATAAACAGTGCCTTATGTAAGTGGCCATTATACTTATGATTTAATTTTAATGATTTATTCTAAGCTAATGTTAATGATTTATTTATTGATAAAGTATATAATTATCATCGATCGTTCATGATAATTCCCTTCGTGTGCCATAAACTTATATAGATATATGTTACTTAATTTTTGTTTTGTTTTTTGCTGACATTTGGACTTCTTTTGATCTTCAGTTCTTTTCTTGAAAGAATTGATTGTTTAGTTACAAAAATTCCTGGTGAGTTGTAACTGTGTTGACATTAACAGTGATCAAGAGTCCCTGTTATCCCTCATTAACAATAAAGTGCCTACTTGACTGCTTTTCTTCTTCATTTCGTAGTTATGAACATCATTGGTTGCAAAAGACCTTATTATTTCTGTATTTGAAAATGTTCAGTGAACATAGCAAGCAGAACTCAAATGTCATGATGATTCATTTAAGCCTTTACAATTCAATTTTTCCAATTGAGAACAAATGTTTGGAATTTTTTTCATAGACTTAAATAAAGTCAGAACTTATTGTAGAATGCATCAATTGAGCATTTTCATTTTCTTATTTTAGTTACTTGTGATTTTCGAAAAAAAAAAAAAAAAAATGAATTAAGCCTTATTAATTTATTTATTTCGTGAATTTTTAATTTGATGCAGCAACATTTTTTTCTTGTAGAAATATGTTCAAAATTATAAAAAATATATAGTTAAAAATAATTTGAACCATATGGGGTGAAAGCCTCCCTCGTCCTGGGACAGGGACTATTTTTTTTTTTTTATCACATTATCTGTTTATTAGTTAGGCCCGCTTAGCTACCTCACTATCTACAACTAAGAGTTTCTGAGGTGTTGAGTTTGACTGGAGTTCTGCCTACTAGTTATTACTTATTCTCCTTGTTCCTTCCCATAAACCTATGTATTATTCTGTTGGGCAATTACTATGCCCTGTATAGGCATTATTCTTATTAGTATTCATTTTGGGAAAATTGACCGGATAATTTGAATATTAGTAATGTTAAATTAAATCGGCCACAGTCACTCCAAAAAAAATTATCCTTTTATCACTCTTGAAAGAATGAAGGAAGCAGAGAGAGCGATATACGTATGATTAATGTTGCCATCAAATAGTCTTCATGTGTCGATTGAACTAAAATCCCTTTATCATAGTTGTCTCAATTATCACTTGAACTCTATCAAGATGCAAAAACATTCTTTAAAAAAATAAACTGGATATTACTTAACTTTCTTTACTCACGAGTAAAGTTGCACAATAGTTGGATTTTACTTCATAAGAATATAAGAAAAAGTTAAATAACTATTAGCCGAGAACAAGAAATAAGAATGATAGTAGAACCTTTTCACAACCACATTGAACATGGCTCTTATCCTGATCTCAGGTCTTCATGTTCTGATTTTTTGATCTTCCGGAGAAACGAATTCGCCTTTGGTCTCCTATTCCACCGGATCGGCTCATCCCTATTGGTGACCATTAGTCTACAATTTTAATCAAATTTTTTTTATAGCCAGTTTTACAAGTATTATACCTTTTTTTTTTTGTACAAGTATTGTACCTGTAGACCTTCCCTAATTAAGAGGATAATGGTCTAACTTCCCGCGGGGACCAGCCGTATTCGATAGTAGGGTCGGGATTCAATCCTATGATCTTTGCTTTACTAGTGTTGTGCGCTAATCACTCTGCTATACCGGCCCCTAATTAAATAATAAATGGCACTAAAGGTAGAAAATATGATAAGAAAATTTACTAATATCATGAGCATGAGTTTTCATTTATGGAATATAAAAATTGTAACAATCCGCACGCTGCTTTAAAGATGGGAAGTGATTATTAAAATATCATCTATTTCATTATTGTCTTATATTTTATAATTTCATATTAATTCCTCTTTTTTAGTGTGGGATCAAAATAAATTGAGTGCTTTCAACTTTATATGGGAAGATTGCACAAATTATGGCCCATATTTAGATGAAACAAGCTATGAAGGGTCATTGATGGTAAATTGGTCTGGTGGATTAGCTTTGTCATCCTTGAAGAATGTATTTAGTTCCCTTACTGTAAATTCTCGCAAAGTATTCAAGATTTTGTTGAACCACCAGTTGGAACATAAAAGTGGAAAATATTCAGGTAAGTTTTTAACTATTCATATATATTATAATTTAAACTGATCAACAAATTGAAGATTAACATAAACAAAATTTTTGTGTGTCCACTCACATGACTTTTCAGATAAATTTAAACTCTGTTATCAATTTAATAATTATCTTTCAAATGAGTAACTTGAAAATATCGAGAGTGATATGGCTTTTGATTTATTGAGAATAAAAAAATGGGTTTCCATGTAAATCTGCCCATGTACATTTCGTGATCAGTCGGATTGGAAAAGGAGTAGGTGCTTAAAAATGAGAGATTTAAATGAAGAAACTGATTGTGTATGTTGGATATTGGAGGAAGAGATAGAATTCCAAAAGGAGACAGTTCGAATTTCAAAGAATTTGCCAAACGCAGCAGTTCGGTGAGGAGGTCAGAAGTATGGGATCTGGTGGAACTGGATTGAATGGAAGATTTGAATTGTAGGCTCTGAAGTATATAAGAGGGTCGCTGACTTCTAGTGGCCTGGTGTAGAAAGGTAGCAAGGAAGTACTGCCAGCAGTAGGATGGATAGAGCCACTTCAACTCGGCGTAATACTCTGTAATATGCGTATCCCTTGAGATCCCGAAGATAAAGCGTATCGAGTAATTCATTAAGCGCTTAAGTTTGGCTTTGAGTTCTCTTGAGAGTCCGGGATTGGATTTTATGAACGCAGGGGATAAGGATAGCTTTAGTCTTCTCGGCGTTTAGGGTGAGCCTGTTGAAAATTGAAGAGGGTTATATTTACAACATATAGTTTATTATACCATTCATTTGGTAATACTGATTGGATTTAAATTTTTTTTTTATCTGTAAATATGATTTGCCAAAAAATGAGTACTTTTGGAGTTTTCAGAAATTTCTTTTTATCACAAGTTTTTCTTGCTTTTCTTTGGAGATGTATTACATTTATGGAAATTGAAAGATCTTTAATGTAAAGACTATAGGCCTTTCGACAAAATCATAGTTTGTTTCTCGCTTATTGCTTAAAAGGTACCAGATTCGGTATACACTTGTCAGTGGCTGAACCCTACAAAATGGAAAAAGAAGTTTTAAAATCGGTCCTCTTGTTCAAGAGATATCGCAGACATATTGGCTGAAAAAGCATTATTTAAACTAAGATTACTAACTTTTTAACTAAGATTAAACAGTGAAACGTAAAGATCTGTTTATAATCTCCCACAGAAAATTTGAACCGATTTCAATGCTTTTTCTATTTAAATGATAATATTTATTTTTACATATGCCGACGTTTCGACCTGAAGTTCAGGCCTTCATCAGGGCTAAGAAAATAACCAGATAACAAGGTATGAGAAACATAAGTAGTGATGGTAAAAAAAATAAATAAAAAATTAATAAAAAAATAATAAATAATTATTAAGTAAAATGAAATTGTTAGAATAATGACTAAGAACTAACACTTATGTCACTCCTTTTTGATTATGCCTACTTCATCATTCCACACTTTGTAACGGTTATTATTATTTATCTCTTAGTTCTTAGTCATTATTCTAACAATTTCATTTTACTTTATAATTATTTATTTTATTGTTATTTATTTATTTTATTGTTATTTATTTATTTTATTTTTTTGTAATATTTTATTTTATTTTTTTTTTCACCATCATTACTTATGTTTCTCATACCTTGTTATCTGGTTATTTTCTTTGCCCTGATGAAGGCCTGAACTTCAGGTCGAAACATCGGCATATTTAAAAATAAATATTATCATTTATTTTTGCCTTCTTTTTTGACTGACCATCCCAACTATTTTTCTCTTCATTGTCCACGACAGTCAACCATTTACCTATTACTTTTTCTATTTACTAGTGGGAGGAAAGTTTAAAAATAAAAAAATTAATTTCTTCTATAAAATTACTTGATTTTCTTGAAAATAGCTCTTAACGATTTTGATTAAACTTATATCTGTGTACGAGTAAATGGTTTTTAATATCTGGTAGGCTTAATCTTCATTCAAATAGTTTGACAGAACTTAAATGTCGATGAATAAAAATTTCTTGAAACCAGTATTATTTTATATGTTTCCATGAAAACTAAATCAAATTCTAAATTAAATGGAAACATTTTTATGAATTATTTTTAAAATTGACATCCAAAAATATATAATCCAGTCTGATTATTATTATGTAGTTATTTAAAAACTATTTTATTATACTTTCATGAGGAGTGGTGTACCAATCCAATAGGAGGTTCCAAAGAGTGCAATACATGTTTACTGTTCAACTGTTAAATAAAATAGTATTTCAATGACCTTCACTGTTAAGTATATAATAAGTTTCATCAATTGTGCTGTGCTTATTGTATTGACTTTCGGATGGTATTATATTGTTTAAAGGAACAAATATACTTTTTTATTGTTGCTTATACTTTGAATATATTAGAGAGGAGAGTAAATATCTAACAAATGTTGATAAGTTGCCAAAAATGTGGTTACAAACAATGCCGTTGTTTTTCATTTTATCTCATTAAGCATAATTATATTAAGTTTTAATTGGTGATTAAAAAAATAATGTCTTTATTTTGTTTTTTTCTCCTTCAGGCATGCACTTCTCTGAACTATACAGGCAGTGTCGAGAAGGTTTTATTGTCAGTTCTGATCTTGCTCTTCGAACCCTATTAACTGAATTTACTGACCACGAGCTAGTCAAATGGAAAAAAGATACTGATCATCTTATAATAACTGTTGATCAAAATATACTAAATCAATTTAAACATGAACTTATTTGAACTTGTAAAATGGGCTTTGCAGAGAGCTAAGGCTGTCTTTCTTGTTAAAACTTCTGTCATGAGTGTATAAATGTTAAGTAAGTTGTTAAAAATATTTGTTTCAATAAGTATTATCTGATTTTTACTTTAATACTAGTTGTATCCAATGTTTTAGTTTACCAGGTTTGTAAGAAACAATTTTCGTTTTAATAATTTTCCTTCTTTTTTATTTGTATATGAAAATTGTGTAATTTGAGTAGTTTTTAAATTGTTTGTCAAAAAATTCAGTTGTGTAAAACTGAATTGGTTGATTTAAACAAAAAAGAAAAGTATTTTCTTTTAGTTATAAATGTATTTTTGAACTAGGTACAAAAGTATTCCCTGGCTGTGTATTTTTTTTTCTTAAGTATTGTATTATATATTCTATGATCTTATGTAATTACTTTGTAACTGAAATCTACCGAACTGTAAATATTATATTTTTGTATTTTTCAAACTGTAAAATTTCTGTAAGTATGATTTGAGTTTGTGGTTATTGAATTAAAATTTTTTGTTATAATTAAAACATTAATTCTGAGCTTTTATCAACCTCCATAGACTAAAGTTCATGGTGTAGTGGTTGCTGGTTAAAAAAACAAAATGATTAAATCATAGTAAGATGATTCTGAGATAAGATAATTTATCATTGGAATTAAAGGCCTCATGTAATCCAAAAAGAACAAGATACGTAAGAAACAAAGGCTTATCATGGCTATTGTTAATAAACCTGATAAACAGTGAGTTAACTTGTTGAGAAAATGTAAACTATTAAATAAAATTGTTAGCCTCGTTCTTCTTTTTAGGACTGATTCTTCCTGACCATACAAACTTATTTTTAGGATGCTCAGTTTTCATTATTGGTTAAATTTTAAAAATCAAAAAAAAAACTTTTCCTTAAAGTTACTCAAGTAGAAAATCTATTTTATAAGCTATAAAGGCTATTTTGAAAGTTATCTCATATCTCCGACATGAAACAGATTCATAATGGAAAATATTAATTATTTTTATTAGGAGACATTTTTTTGGGGGGCTGTCAGCAATCAGCAAATGTGCTCTAGATACAAGATATAAAAGACATGTCAGGTATGGGGAAGGAGGAAAGTACTCAGCAGCACCTCTTCCCTGACTTGCTTCAATTACTTAGATTTAAGGAAGGAGATCTGTCATCCAATGCCTTTTCAGTCAGCTGTGGCCATGTCTCTTATTAATCTGTTGTGATGTCCGTTCAAACTAGTATAAAGTTGTTGGTAAAGGCTTAGTTATTATTATGTTATTATATTATATGTTGGAAGGTGGAGGTCAGTATCTAAGAGTTTTGTTAGTCATGTACTATGGTGCTTTTGTTATGAGTCACAATAATTTTGATTTGAAGTTTTTGTAGGTGAGTCTTTTTAGCGATACCAAATATTTATGATGAGTATATCCATATGGGTTTAAGTAATTATGTATATTTATTCAGCTTTGAAGATTTAGAAAATAGAGGTTAAAGTAATTTGAGTTGTTTGTTAAGTATCTTACATTTCGTTTTTTTTACGTGCGGGCTCCATGTCATCCTTCTGTTGAAGGTGAGTCCAAGGTAAAGTACCGTGTCTGTTTTAGGAATTCAATTGTTAGTCATGCCAATGTTCTAGAGGGCAGGTGTTTTTTCTAGGAGTAAATGTTATATGTTTGGATTTGTCATGATTAAGTTGAATTTTCCGTAGTTTGAACCAATTTTGTAATAGTAAATGTTGTTGTAGAGTTAGTGAGGCTTGTGTAGGGTCTTGGTTATTTATAAGAATTGTTGTGTTGTCCGCATAAGTACCTGTCAATGTCTCATTGTTAATAGGTATATCTTAAGTGTATACAATTTAAAGTAGAGGGGCGAGTATTGAACCTTGGGGAACTCCTGCCAAGATTGGAAAAATTGAAGACATTTCAAAGCCCTGACGAACTGAGATAAATCTGTCTAAATAGGAAAGATTGAAGGTTTAGATAGTAAGTATATGGCAGTATAGTCTTAAGAAGACCCTGGTGCCAAACTCTATCAAACGTCTGAGCAACATACAAAAATACTGCAGTTGCATATAGTTTTTGTTCTAAAGCTCCAGAAATGGAGTCGGTAACTGATGTGTCGTTGAATGGAATTTGCGAAAGCCGAATTGGTGGTCAGGTATTATCTGTTGGTCAGTGTATATGTCGACAAGTCTTTTGTATATTAATTTTTCAAAAACTTCAGAGCATACAGGAAGGAGGCTAATGGGTCTGTAGGATGAAGGACTTTACATGTCTTTACCGGGTTTGTGAATCATTTTAATGAGAGTATTTCTACTGTAATGGGAATTTTGGAGTCCTAATTATACAGTTATAAATTGTCAGAAATATTAGAGCTTTCTTGGGCATTTGTTGGAGTGCTTAGGCAGTTATTAAGTCACAACCAGAAAATATTGAATCATATAAATGGTTTTATTTTTAAAAATAATGAAATATATAGTTCCTGTTAAATTAATTTATATTCTTGAAACTATATTATATAGTTTTCATATTTTCCGTTATATTATTATATAAATTAAATAATAATTTATTATTCCTAAAGTACTTATATATCAGATAATAAAAGAAAAATTCCTCTAATGTAATAACGTATATAAATAAGGAGGGCTTTTTTGTTTGCTGATGGTTGGGAATAGAGAACTGAAATCGAATCGAACTGTTTCCATGGCACATAGCATCTTATCCAGTTCTTTTTGAAATGTATAGTTTATAGGTTACAGAATGTAAGTTCAAAAAGTTAATAACAACTACTTCAAATCCTAATCTTCTATATTTTCAGTTTGAAAATGAATACCTGTTACAGATTATTTAATGAATAGATTAAGTGGTTGAAGCACTCTCTCAAAAACTGTGTAAGATCAACTGACTGACAAGTAAGTACCTGCATAATTTTTAGCACTTCATTGGCTTTAAAGTGATCAGTAAAAAAAAATCCATATTTGTGATAAAATCTCAATTAGTAATATATTGGTTTAAATAAACTCAAGTCTAGTTAAAAAAAAAAAGTATGAAGCTAAATAGTTTCAAAGAAATACTGCATTTGTCCTGATCTGATTAAACAATTACAGCAGGAAGATACTTTATTCATGTATATAAGCCTTCATAAAAAAAAAAAACAGTGTGGAAGAACACAAACTGAACTAAATGGAAAAAAAAAATAGTACAGAAGGCAGTTTTTTTCTAATTAATTACATTTATGATAAAATAGTTTATAATAAATGGAATATACTATTCTCATCAAATTATTGAGATTAATAGTTTAAAGAATGTCTAATATTCCATATACCATAAAAGATCACTTAATAAATTCTGATTAAGCCAAAATATTAAGTTCATTTTTGTGAATTTCGACATATTTATTTGATGCAAAGCACAGTCAGTGCATCATAATGACATAACCTTATATATCAATCTACAGTTATATTAGCTGCTTCAAGTTCTGATTTCACAGAGGGAAAATTCATCAGAAGTATTTAGTGATTTAATTTTATGAGATGTTACTTAATAATTTTTTCAATAAACCTTCAGTATGATGTAAATAAAAATCTCTAATTGAATTTTAATAATGGAGGTGTATTTTTTTTTCAACTATAATATATATAATAGATCACATTTTTGGTTCTATAATGAAATTTTAACTGATAATGTACATACAAATATTTTGTTTTTTTACAAGAAATCATTTTTCTATTGACAATCTATCAAAATAAGCATTAAATGAGAATGCTCACATGACACAGCATTATTTTTAAAATCATGTGATCATTAAAATATAATTTTATTGCTTGCTGCATTTATTTTTAATAAATGGATACTTATCTCATTTTGACTAACTTATTTTATAAATGTTTTCTTACTTCATCTCTTTTTTCTTTATCTCTTTTGCTTGTCCTGCAGCTTAGTTCTTTGTTTCTTTGTGGACCTAGTTCATCAGGAACATTATAATAATATATAAAAAAACACAACATGAAAAAGAGACAAATGAAATATTCGAAAGAGAAATTTGGAAAAGGAGTTATGGGACAATTCATATTGTGTAAATGAACATATGTAGCATAAGTAGTTTTAAATTATTTAATGTAATAAAGGCACATCAGGTATTTTAACACACAAGTAAGGTTTAAGAAATAAAATTTATAAAGTTGATGAATAAGCATATATATATTAAGAATATATTGAAAATGACAATAATATACTAACAAAAGGTTATAAAAAAGATGATTCATATATAAATTAAATGTGATGAATTTAACTTTAGGAATGCCCCAATGATACTTAATAGATAAGGTATTAATTAGGATTAGAAATTGTAATGGGAAAGATATTAAAGAATTTGAGAAAAATATAAAATTAACAGCAAAACTATTTTCGCCATTGTCAAAAACAAGACTATACATGCTGATTATACAAGTTTTAATTATCATATACATAATTAATTAGCTGATAATATTTTTATTGTAAAATTTCATACAAACTTTTTTATTGCTTCAGTTTCTCTGATGATTATGAAATCAACACTGATTTCTATTAATGTTCTTCAAAATGGCTATAAGGAAAGAATGAATCAATAACAATTCAAATAAATATCTGTTTATTTTTTACATGAAAGCTAAATTAAAAAAATATATTTCTTTATAAACTAGAATAAGTTTTTGAACTTATTTATGATTAGAAATTCTATGTTATGTATAACAAGTCATTAAAAAAAGTTATGAACAAATAAAAATATTTTAAGCTCCAATATTAATATTTTTAGAAATATAAATTATTCATCATTTAGAAAAAGTAAATTTACTATTTAATGTTAGTACATTAATAAGCTAAAATAAAAATATTTTACAGTCTTCTCTAGATATACTTATTTTAGCTATGCAACTCAAATTAAATTACATAAAAATAATTGAAAACATATTATACTATTTCTAGATAGCAAAAGGCAGTCTACTAAGTAGTTTGCCAACTACTTTAATTATGAATCAATGTAATAAATAAAACAGCTGTAACCAAATATGTGAACTACAATAAATAAATCCTTCTCAACAATAATTATCATTAGAGGCTCCCAACAAAAAAAAAGGTATCACAGAAAGTTAAAAAAAGCTCTACAGCCTTTCAAAAACATAAAATTAATCAGGAAAATTTCAATTTTCCAATAACTTAATACTTATATTTTCTTGAAATAAATCAAATCAACTGCTCTTAACAGGTGTAATTAGAAGAGCCCAAGAGTGCTAAATGGAAATGCAGAGTAAAATATAAATGTCAAATTTATAAAAACTATCGGTTTCTAAAAAATAATGTATATATCTATGAAGTCAGGGTTGAAAAAATATTAATTACAGATGAAAGTTTGTTATAAATAGTTAAAAATGATAAAATGGAATTTAGTTGAATAATAATGCAATTCAATCATAATTATATTATATTTATTGTTTCATACTTATTGTTTTGTAGAATATAAATATTAAAGTAATCCAACAAATGTAAAGATTGGAGTTATGAAAGAAACAAATACAATAAATTTGCTTGGATTTCTCAGATTAGTAGACTAGAAAATTGTACCACTACAACCCATGAAGGGTCTTGGGTTCAGTACTGTTTAGGGAAAGTACTTAGTAGGGTAGAAACTCGTGTTAAATCTTGGATTCACTGGAGGTTTAAAAAAATAAAAGCTAACATAAAATGCTATGATTCTGAATAAAATATGGAAATAAATACAAAATTAAATTGAATATGCAATAATATGAGTGTAATAAAACTATAATAGAGTGGTGTATATGAAAATAGAGCCAGAGAAAGGTTAACACTGGTAAAGAAAACTGAAATTTTCACAAGAGGCAAAAGTTTGGATGCATCTAGTCCCAGAATCATAACTGACTTAAAGTTCGCCACTGGAGATAAGGGATCAATGCCAAGTTATGATTACCCAACCAATGATAAGGACCTATTCTAAGAAGTCTCTCAGGGAATAATAGGTCATATAAGAACAGGAAATTATCTATCATGGGAGACTAAAATGACCGGACTGGAAATTAATACTTCTAATGAAGTCTTGGAATTATGGAGACAACAAGCTAAAAGAAGCAATGGTGGAAACAGGCTTATAGAATTTTGTATTCAGAATAAAATGGTAATATAAAACTTTCATTATAATCATAAGACTATACACAAAATTACATTTGAAGCTCAGGAGTGGAATGTGAGAACTCTAATTGATTGCTTTGTACACAACTAAGATATCAGTACAGGTGAATAGGAATTAAATCACCAGTCTCAGGGTAATAAGAGGCTGCTCTCTGACAAAAATGAGGGATATGGCGAACGATTACAACAAATGGTGAAGATGGACCAAGGCTAAACCTCAATGCATCATGGAGGAAGAGAAAAACTAAACATACATTTAAAAATAAGTTTTGCAAAACAAAAATGTTAGTCACATAAATTAAACCAAACTTCTTTGAATATAGTTTGATTTTTATAATAGTTTTAATATTAAAAAGATTTTGAGCAGATCAATGGAATTATTAAATGATTATTTATCAAACAAAAATAAATAACAATATTTTTTCAAAACTGTTATTTATTAAAATAATTCAAACTTTTAAGTAAAATAGTTTTTGAAATTATTAAGTTGTCTACTAAAATCTGTGTTCAAACATGTGATATGGTCACATTTGAAGAAAGAAATAAGATTACTGTCTTAATAGAAAATTAAAAAATTGTATAATTCAGATAAGCAAGTGAAGGCAATTCATTTATTTAGGAGTGGTAAAATAAAAAAATAAAGCTCTCAGCTCTAATATATTTGAATACTCAAATCTTTTCTTCATAGAAATCCAATGATGGGAAATTTCAAATCTTATTATTTACAAACAAAAGTACAGTCTGTAAAGAGGCCTATCGAATGAGATAGAAACAATGTAAGATCAACACAGTTAGTAAAAAAAAAAAAAAATTAGTCATGTAGGCAACAGTTAGTAATGGAGACAACAGAAAGCAATATCCACAATCCATATTTACTATTCATGTCTTTTTCCCCAGTTGTTCACTTCCTTAGATCTACTCAGTTCAATATTTAGAGAATTAAGAAAATATTTGAAGAAAAATATCAGCACTGTTCGATTATTTGTTTTTTTTTAGTATTGCACAACATATTTCAGACAACAAAGATATGATCGAGTTGCCACAAAAATATTATATTCTTAAAGAATATTTAAGCAAATTAATTTAAAAAATCTAGTGCAGCCATCGCACTACTTTCACTTACCGCTATACTTTGAATAGAAATTATTTTCTGTGTATGTTGGCTATTATAAAGTTTTTGAGGCGCATTTCTAACGGAGCTAAATCTTAAACCTTACACCTAACCTGTAACAACGCATTAAGGACATTATAAAACAAACCCTATTCATTATATCGGCAATAGGCAATAAAAATCTTGTAACTCCATCTGTTTTTGTAAACCACATAACTCCAGTCTCTGATCTATATACTTATGCTTAGAGAGATTTGAAAGTACATCTGAATATTTAACCTATAAATGATATTATATTCTTAAAGAATATAATAATTTATTTTATAATTTTAATTTATTAAACTCTTATTTTCCATTGTAAAATTTACTAAATTGGAGTTACGAGATTTATTGCATTACCTGCCACGTAGGTCAAAAGTTGTCACACTAATTGTCAGTGGATAATGTTGTGATTTCACAGGGAGAAAATTCATCAAATTATTCACTAATTTAATTTTCTAAAAGATTATGTTCTAAAAAACATGCTTTTTTTTTTAATAAATGGGCAATAGATACCTAATTATTTATAAATTATATCAAATCTAGAGTTATTAAACAGATATTTTACACATCCATGAAATATTTTTAAATTTTACTTCTTTCACACAAATTCAATGAAATAGTTTTTTTAATAATTTCATTACCTTGATTTGGTGGATTTGATACACTTTTCAAACTTACAAATAATTTTAAAAGTTAACATTTAGTTAAGAAATTTCATTTAATTTTCTTGAAACAGAAATTATTTTTTATAATTTTGTTATCACTCCCCATTACTTTCTATGACTTTGTTTTTTCTAAAACTCTCAGCTTTCCAAGGACATATTATGTGTATACCTTCTGTTTAATATTTCCGGAAATTAATATTCGACCTAAACGTTTTACTTTTTTTCTGCTTTAGTCAATTATCAAATTCTCTTATAGTTTACATTTAGCCTTTATTTATTACTGCTACTAATGAGGGATAGTTAATTATTTCAAATGAACTAAATTAAAGATAATTGAGGAACAAATTTTGAAAATTGGGCATTTAAGCCGTATTAAGCACCATCAATGGGGATAGGACCTACCTGATATTAATGACCATTTAATTATACATTAATAGTTGAGTTTAATTAAGTCTATGATATATATTGCTGTAACATCCCAGACATTTACCTATCTTAAATACATAATTGTGTGGCTTTTCGTATTTGATCTAGGCTGTACACACACACAGACCATTTTGTGGGACTTGCTTATTTGGACTCAAGGCACCTCACAACATATAATTCCATTGAAAACTCAGGTTCAAAAATTTTGACGATCGCAATACTTTCCCTTACAATATATTTCATACATAGGAAAGTGAAAATGAAAAATTAATTTAACATTTGTGAAACCTAAAATAATTACTAAATTAAGAACAATTATAATTGAGCATCAAATTAAAAATAATTCTACCCAACTTAAACAACCGGAATCAGAAAAGGAATAGAATGTAACATTTAGAACGAAACAACAAAAATAATTTTAAAAAATCGGTATTTATATAGTATATAATTATATATTTGTTTTTCTTGTTATTCTTCTTGATTATGATTTTACTTTTGTTTTTTATTCATAATACAATTTATAAGGTTTATTATCATTATACAATTGGTACAATTTCCCCTCAAGAGTGCTAAAAAATAAATACATCAACTAATAGCAATATACATTGCCTTAATAACCAATCAAACATGCTTGAGTAGAGAAGAATACATTAGTGGGATTTAAATATTTAGATACTAACTAAAAAATAACCTAACATTTAATTACTTGGTATTTTGCTTGATTTTACCTATGCTTTGCAATAGATAACTGAAATTTAACTATTTTAGATATCTTTGAAGAGGGAAAACAATGTATAACTCACAAAAGATGTTTGCACAATATGCACATCAGATGTTCTGTCTGCATGACGATAAAATGCTTTATAGATAAAATAAATTTGACTAAAATCATTTTCTACATTAGAGAAAGGTTGTTAATAGTTTTAAAGCAGTTATTTGTAGTCTACCTAATTCATAAAATAAAAAACTATAACTAATATAGTTAGACTTAAAAGTATTAGTCATAATAAGACCAGTGCTGGAAAAAACTAATTCTTATACATTTTAAATAATAAAACATAATAAGTTTTATGAAAAATGCCTAGCACAGGAGCTAAAATATTTATAAAAAATATAAAAAGTAACAGATTAGCTATTTTTATTCTGATTGAAAATAAAATATACAACTATTTTATACATGGTCCAACAACAATTGAGGTATCTTAGACAGTTGGGACTGGGACAGGAGGTTTGATTCCTAGTAATTCTGCTATTTTATTCCTAACAGGGCGAGAGATATCTACAGTTGTCCATTCAGCTTCCGAAAGTAATGAAAGGATAGAATCCAAAGATTCTTCAGATAATCCTGGGATATCAGGATACAACATAAGGGATTCGTATAACTTTGTTGCTGTTGCTTTCCTCAGCCAACCAAACCTATGGCAAAGCAAGATCATGAGCCGTCCGAGTGCCTTCTTGCATACTGCACCATCAACCTAAACATATCAATTATATGGAAGATCAATATATATATATATAATATATGTTATATAATAAACAAACTGGGAAATAAAAATAAGAATGCAGTATTAACACAAAATATTCTTGGTATTGAAATACAAAATATTAGAACACATTAAATTATTTACAAACATTTGAAAATCTACTTTAAGAAATTTAACTTAATTATTATGAAAATGATATTCTGTTAAAGTTAATAAATAAATATCCAGTAATTTATACAAGTTTATAAAAATGAATGAATTTTTAAAATCTAATAATAAAGATGATGCATTATTGATATTTTAATTGATTATTATTGCTAAAATATAATGTACCATGATAAAAATAGAAAATTCCAACTATTAAACCTTGAGCCTCTGGCATACAGAAAAACAGTTAACTCACATTCTCAGTTATCTGTTCACCTGTTAGTAAGAGACCGAAGGTTCAAAGCATAAGAATTTCCATTTATATCCTCAGTACCTTATGTCTCTTTGTGAGCAAATTAATCATTTATCCTTATAAAGGACTATCATTATAATCACCTTGGGCTTCTATATTTTTCAACTGGAACCAGAAAAACAAAACTTCCAACAAATAATTGGAATTAGTCAATATATTTGGTGTTAAAAAAAACTATGCTGTTTACTATTCAAAATGTTATACTCCATAACTAAGACTTAATGATGACAGTGATTAGATTATGGGCCAATGTGATTTAATACAAGTTAAATCTTCTCTTGTAAATCATTTAAAACTTAATTTTAAACCAATAGCTGAATTAATAACGCAGTATACCTGTATTAGTTGACAATACACGTCCACAGACCTCAGCAGTTTAAATTTATCAAGAGTGCCAGTCAATGCTGACCTAGTCAAGTTGAAAATCTGTAGAGCAAATTTGGAATTAGGATCTTTGAGTACTTGATTGATTGTGCCTGAAAAAATGAAAATAGTAACTTTATAAATATTCAGAAAATAAAAAAATGTAATAAGCACATTATCTATTATTCATCCTGATTAAATATAACCTTAAAGGAAAGTATATATTCTGATTTAATGCATCAACAAACGCTTAAGAAAAACTTGAAATATTAAATCTAAAAAACTTTTAAAGGTAGATAAATATTTTACTGCAATTAAGTGATAAAATTAGGCTAAGGGCTCAAGATTATTTAGAAATTAAAGGTGAGAAATTCTAATGGACCAAGTGTGCAAAACCAATATAGGGTGTACAAACTCCTTACATTCTTCATGACTCCAAAGTAGTAGCAGTATATTCCAAAAGTTTCATTAAAAGAGATCTTTAGATATAGACAACAATTAAAAAAACAAAATGGATAATTACATTTTTTGAAACGTAATGTTTTTGAGCTGAGGAACAGTATATCAATGTGTCAATGCTATTCATGCAATAACATTATTAATATTACAACAACTAAAACGTCTTAAATTATATCTTATTATTATAAAGAAAAATAATGTAGGAGTAGAGAGATTACATGTAAAGAATGATCATGCTTTAAAAAGATACTAATTGAAATCTGTTTTTACAGTTGGATCAAGAACATAATGAATCTCAATATCAACTTTCACTATTCCCTGTCTTATTCATCTATATTTTTAAAACAACCGAGTATTTTTTATGTCAAAACCAAATAAGACAAAATACCATACCTGATCCAAGAAGCTTGTCAAGAAAGCTTAGCATTGGTAATATTATCCTATCATTTTGTAAATTTGTATCATAGATGAAAGCTATTGTATCACAGATCCTATGAAGTTCATTAGAATTCTGACCTCTAAGATAGTCAAACAAACAGTTGCTAGAAGCAGTAACCTGTGGGACAGATCATAATTTATAGTTCAATTAACGATAAAAGTTCATAATTTATTCGTTATGTTCAAATGAAATATATTTTTGTTAGAACCATGTTCAAATAAAATATATTTTTGTTAGAAATATGTTCAAATGAAATATATTTTGGTTAGAACTATCTAATGGAAAAATTAAACCTTAAGCAAAACAGCATCTCAAATTACTATTAGTTTGATAACAAAAAGTCATCCAAATTTGTATTATGATTCAAAATTGAAAATTTATTAGTAATTGGAGAAGGTTGATAATGGCCCATTTTACAAGGAATAGTTAGCCATTTGCTGGCAATGATTTTAGCAAGCATTAATCATGACAAGTTGTGAAATTTTAAGGGCTTATTGATAACAGCTATCTGGAACAGTGACATAATAAGTGATTAGAGGTCTATGGATGATTGGATTAAAAGAGCATTAGCTCTCCTGAGAAAAAGTGTGATGGCTGTTGAGAGAAAAAGAGTGAATCATCATCTTCATTTCTTTATGATCACATATTCAGTAAACAATCTTAACACATCCCCGCTTCTTGGTCAGCAGTATTTTTTATTAAATGGTAGATGTAGAGCAGAACCTCTCTTTAGCGAATACATCTTCGGCTCTTGAGGATATTTCCATTTACTTAAATCATGAAAAGAGCAATTTCTTAATGATGAGTGAATCATTCTGATCTTTATTATTATTTATTTATTTAATGAAATTTACAACTGTACAAACAATACAACAAGTAAAAATGCACACATTTGAAATCATGACATGAACAGACTTGAAGAGATACTGCCCAGTGGTAGCATTCCCCATTTAATTCTAGGTGAGAAGATCACAAGGCCATCTTCTTTTTAGACGTGTAGGGGGATTATCAGGAATCGAGGAAGAAGCAAGGCTGGAAACAAGTGGATTCGGATGGGACTAGAGTTTATCATGAAAGGATAGGTATCTGGCTCGGGCTAAATCAGCGACATATGGGACATTAAGGTCTTTATGAATGGTTTTATCTGTGACAAAATATGGGGTATTAAGGATTTTGGATTGTAAGGGTTGGATACGATAGGAATTCGATGATTTGGTAAAGCCTCAAAGCTCAACTCCGTAAGTCCATATAGGTCTTATTATGGTTAAGTAGATGAGTCTTTTGTAATTAATTGAAAGTTTAGAGCATTTGTCTAGTAAGTGTTGGAGCAGTCGGAAACGTCGAGCAGTTTCTTGTCGTTTCAGTCTAGTATGATGATTCCAAGTGAGACGTTTATCCAAGTGGAATCCTAGATAGTGGATTTGTTCAACAGGAACAAGTGGAATATCATTGAAGGATACAAGAAGTTGTAGGTTTACAACAAAGGGTAAAGGTAATTTCATGGGATTTATTGGAATTTATTTTTATTCTCCAGTTATGACACCATTCTTCAAGGTTTGTGATATGTGATTGGAGAGTTTGGGATGCAATTGAAGGGTCATTATTAAGCGATAGGATACAAGTGTCATCTACATAGGTGGTGATGACCGTGTTGGGATATCAGCTGTATAAACTGTATAAAGGATAAGACTAAGGATGCTCCCTTAAGGAACACCAGCAGACTGAGAAAAGAGGGATGAACATGCATTATTTTGATTTACTTTGAAATGTCAATCAGTAAGGTATGAACGGATAATGAAGAAGTGTGTAGTCATTCTGATCTGATTACTAGAAACAACAGTTTTAGCAACTACAACAGATACATTCATAATGACGATTAATTAGATTTTGTTTCTAAAGAATATCAAAACTAGGCTTCTCTGAAAGAGTGCCTTCAAACCTCCTTTTTAATTCAAAACACCAGTGAACACCCTGGTGGAAAAATTAAGATGGTTATCACTCTAACAGTATGTTAATAAAAGCTAATTTATAGGTGCAAAGCAGAGTAAATTGGAAGCCATGCTCAAAACCTTAAGCCGAAACCAGGATTTATCCAGACAGGCAATAAGTCACGATGGAGGGCAATCAAAATAAGTTAACTTGACCTCACTTATGGATGAAATAGGTTTACAACCTGCAAATAATTCTCCTTTCCTAACTTAATACACCAAGTGCCACTGGAGCATCTATGGGAGGGCAGAGAGGGAAGCTTTCAGGTTTAAGTCCCTCAAAACAGAAAAATTGTTTTGTTTTTTTTTCATTGGCCCATATTTATTACTACGAGTTATCTAAGTAATCTAAGCTAAATAGTTAAAAAATCACAATATGTTCTGTTTTTAAATTATAATGCATATACTGCTACTAAATATGACCATATCTTACAAAAAAAAATATTTAAAAATATCTCTATAAGTATTATTGTTCATGTAATTAATTTTTTTTTTAATAGGACACAAAAAAATTACTTAAACACAGTTTTATTTAAGTAGTTAGTTTAAAAACTAATTTGTAGAAAACATATATATATTACTATCAGTGTAAAATTAATTTCTATTATTGTAATATTGTTTAATTTTTTTATCAAATCAATTATCCAATAATGTAAATAATGATTTGTTACTGTATTTTTTAAAAATCTTTTTCAGCCAACAAATCCTGAATGATTAACATAACTTTAAGATAATTTCTAATTAGCATCAAAAACAAAAAATGGACCTCAAAATCATTGTACACAACTGTTTGATATCAATATTTGACAATATAATGTACAAACGCAACATTTATAAACATGTTTCCAAGAATGAAATTATTAAATAGAAAAACACTTCAGGATTCTAAGAGTTTGAAGTAGGTATACAGAGATAAAATGGAGAGTTTATTGATAGATTATTATGTACTTCAATTATGTGAAAACCATTACAAATATACTAAGGTCTAAAAGCTTTTTTTTTAATAACCAAAAGATTGGATAAAAAGAATGCAACCTTTTCTTTGAAATAAAGCAATTGAACTAAAATTGTTGTAATGTAAATTAAAATATCTATACATGATAGAAATCTCATCATTTTTTTTTTCTTTGCTACCTCACTACCGAAGGTAGGAAAGTTTTGTATTCCTGGGAGAGGTTAAAAAAATTTTTGAGCTCAGAATCAAAAATTTTCACTCGCATTTTAAGTTTTAGAGTTCAAGGATCAAATTTGGTTCAGCGTCTGTCTGTAGTCAAATTGATGTAACAAGCATATCACCTACTACTATTTATAAAATTTTCATGAAATTTCAGAGATTGGGTAGGTTGGCGTATAGATGTCCCATATCAATTTGATCAAAATCCATCCAGCACTTCCGCTTGCACAGGCATAAATGTATTTAATTAGATATGCTAGTATTTCAGAAACGGCTCGTTCAATTTTGCACAAAGTTGGAAAGAAGGTAGATATTAATAAATAAATAATGTAGTATAAATTTTATTCAATTCTGTACTCTACTTTCTCCTATATATATATATATGTGCAAACTTGTTTTCCTTTGGTTGAAATTTGGAATGAAGTTAGGGATTGGTAAACAGACAATCAAGTATGTATCGATTTTACCAAATTCTATCCATAATTTCCAAAAAAATACTCCTACTTTCAGATCAGAAAATGTATTATTTGACACGTCTATAGCCGATTTGATCCAAACTTGGAAGAAATTTGGACAATAGTATAGAAATTACCTAATATTAATTTCATTGAATTCCATTTAATAATTAAAATTAATATAAATAATTGTTAACAATATAATGGCTGTGAAATGTGGAAGGCATTTATCATATGGAGTGGGAGTTAAGTTAATACAATATTTTTATGAGGTTATAAAATTTTAGGTTTTATTCAAAAAGTTAATTTATATTGTATTGTTAGGTCGATTACAAATGTTACTGGAATGACACTTACTACCGTTACTTAGATTTCGTTTGATTTTCCATTAATTTAAATTAATTGTTACTCTGAGTTCATAAAAAAAGAAAAGAGCCTTATTTGTGATTGTGTTTATTTATATTGAAGTTCAATCAGCTCGTCGTGGTCTCGATTATCTCCTTAAATATCAAAGTTGTGGAAACTTCACGTATATTTTTATATTCCAGCATAATTAGGTTTGTTTTGAGTGAAGAAAAGTATTGATCTCATTAGCTCGATTAATCTCATTAACTCCGAACAAACAAAAAGTTGAATTTTTCCTATGGATTTTTTGTTCTATCCATTTTACTAGTGAAAACATACCTATTAAGTATACATTACTAATATTAGTGCAAAAGACCCTATATAACAATTTTTCATTTTATGTTCTATATGTTGAGGGATTACTGAATTTCCGAAAACAGCTTCTTTCAGAGATTTTTTTCTTATACGAAAAATTATAGACCTTGTAATATAGATATTTTTAGCCAATGAAAAAAGCGAGAAAGCTATACTTACGTTACTTGGCAAACATTTTTTTTTAAGAGATATTTTCTTAGAAAATGAAATATTAACCCTTATCTCTGTTACAAGAAAAATCGTTTGTTGCAACAACATGACTACTCAAAATTAATACTATCTATTTCAGGTGATTCATTTGAAAAGAAAAATTTAATCTAATTTTTAATGATGTAGAGATGGTTGACAGTTGATATAATATGAGAAGGAGTTAGTTGGGGGTGCGGTCAGATAAATACTAAATTAAAATATAGTAATTATTTTATTTTAATTTTGCCGACGTTTCGACCCACTTTGCAGGTCGTCTTCAGGGCGTAGGATGTAGCACTGCGGGAGGCAGTTGAAACACTGCTGAGTTGTTTCAACACTGTTGAGTGTTTCAACTGCCTCCCGCAGTGCTGCATCCTACACCCTGAAGACGACCTGCAAAGTGGGTCAAAACGTCGGCAAAATTAAAATAAAATATTTACTATATTTTAATTTAGTATTTATCTGACCGCACCCTCGACTAACTCCTTCTCATATAATTCTAATTTTAATTTAAAATTGATACAATACAACACATTTATTGGTTGCATTATCATTGTATTGGCTGTATCATCATTGTATTAGTTTTAATATTATCATTAATTTAAACAAATAAAAATAAACTTTCAGCCAAACTATTCATTAAATAAAAACAAAGTAGAATTTTCCTTGGGGGTCAAGAAACAAAACAATTGCCTCTTTGGTATTAAATAAAAAAAAAAACCAAGATGTTTTTAAACAAAATATGCTCCTCAAACTATTTACTGTCTCAAAGTACAATTCTGCTCACTTAGTTAAACATCTCCTTATTATACAATGCATTTCAATAAAAAACCAAAGCAATGAATTCTTTTCAAAAGTTTTGTATTATTTCACAGATTATAATAAAATTCTTTAAACCACAGACTTATAATAATTGTTCTTGCATATTTTTTGGTACAAAATTTTTCACCTTGCAATAAAATTTCAAAAATAATATAATGTAAATTTTATCTAATTTTAGAAAATTGGAGAATACTATTTTTATAATTTTAGAAAATTAGAGTATGAATTTTCTCTTACATTACACTTCTCCGAATTTTTAAAAATATTTTTATTTTTAGATATAACTTTGAGAAGTGCTTCAGATAAGATTTCTGAGAAAGCAGTATTATTATAAGAATTATCTATTTTTTTTAAATCAACAAATAATGCGGGAGTTTATCAGCAGTATTATAACTCAATTACAAATACATATACGATTTATTTATCAAAAGCTATTTATCAATCATTAAAGCTATGACATTAAAAATATATATTCTAAGAATAAATGATAATTTATTTTATTTTTATTCCACACATTGAAAAGAAATAGTTTTTTTTTTTTATTATACTAATAAGAAAAACCAAAAAATTAGAATCAGTAGTACATTTTCATCTTTCGCTTGGTGCAAGAAAACCCAATGTCTTAATTTGTCACTCTGGGCAAGAAGTAATTTGAAAAACAAAAAAAAACTTTGGGTGGAAACCATTAAAAAAAATTACACCAATGTCAATAAGTTCCATAGCTAGAGATCATTTAATCTGGCAAAAAAATACACTAGTTTTAAAATAATAAACAAATTTTCTTTAAAAAAAAAGGAAAAATAAAGGTTGTTCTCAAATATTTGCTATAAACTCATGCACAAAATGCTTATATATACTGTAATAAACTATAAAAGAGATAAATGAAGGTACTAACCAAACTTTCTGTAATCCCTCCTACAGAAACAATCAATCCTGTTAGGATAGGCTTAGTATAACTTTCAAGTGATAGCAGTTGAGTAAACCTAGGGAATGTTTCTAGACCAGATAACCAATTTATTTCATTTTTACATGCTTCCTCTGGAAAAACCAAAACCAATTCTTCTCGCATTGGAATATATGGGATTTGAGGATTACTGCAAAAAAAAGAAGTAATAATAATAGGTGAATATATGAGTGAAAAAAACAAAATTATTTTCATTTGTTTTTCAAGTTCTACCTATCCTGAAATGTAAAATCTCAAATTTTGAGGGAGGGGTGTCAAGTTTTTGAATTTTTTGGTTGATTACAATGGTTCATAATTGAAAATAATAAACTAAAATAATGAATTTAAACAATATACTACTTTTTTAAAAATTTCATCTTAAGAGCCCATTAAAAGATAGAGTTGCGGCACTTTATGTGCACTCCTCAGGACCAGAAGAGATACGGCTACAAATGCAAGAAGTAGGTCCTTCCTCATATCAGACAACATATCCATACCATGAACCCTTCAATCTTCAAACTCTTTAAATTACTGAGGTACTTCGTCCAACTTACATTAGTAAGTTCACTTCAAGAAGGAACGGAATGAAAAGTATTCCACTTTTTTCCATCACATAATCCTCTTCCCTGTAGCTTAGTGGGTGAGAACTGACTTCCAGAGCTCAAGGTGCCAGGTTCGAATCCGGCTGATGACTAGTAATTTTTCATCAGATGTGGATTGACCCTGGAGTCAGGAGACTTCTGGGGCATGCCCAGCCTTTATAAAGAGGGTACAGGTTTTTTTTTTTTTTTTTTTTTTTTAAACCTCTTCCATTTGATGACGGTCTTTTACTCTTTTCACATCATGTGTTAATTTTAAGCATCCTCTTTTATTGGATACCAGTAACTAATATAATCTTATTGAACAACACTTCAATTTCTTTAATAAAACACAAAATAAGCAACCTCAATAATAATAAAACATATGTAATCCATAAAGATACTTCAAATTTAAATATTTAAACGCTATTTTCGAGATAAGATCATAATAAATATAATACAATACAACAACTAAACAGAAATTCTAATAGTTGTCTAATGTTGACAAGCAAAAAAGAAATAATAATTACCTGTGTAAAAGTGTAGAAAACACATTGCCTGCAATTCCTCTAGTTCTATCAATTCTTTCTACTGCTTGCTGTGTGATTCTGGTCAAAGCACGTTCAACAATGTTTTCAGTCAGCAAGTCAGGTGCTTCTTTTGCTCCAAGTTGCATTAACGACTACCATTACAAAAAGAAAATTATTATTTCAATCACATACAGGTAACATTCATGAATGGTCAAAGCTGGAATTTGTAAAAATGTCCCAACTAAACTAAAGAAATATTGTATAAATAGACTGTTTTTAAATTTTTTTAAGAAGGTGTAAACAAGTTTTAGATTGTTTCATTTTCAACATTAAATTAAAATATTGGGTTAATTATCAATTGTTAAGAGCACATTAGACTATAATTTTTAAGAGCGTCTAAAGACCACAATAGCAGCACCGGAGTCTTATCTAGGGCCTAGAACAGGCTGGTCAAGGTACAGTAGAGACAAGAAAAATAGTCTCATATTTTTATGTGATGATCATAGAAAAATATGATCAATGTAGAATGATCTTTTTTTTTTTAGAAATAATACAAAACTTTTGAAAAGAATTTATTGCTTTGGTTTTTTATTGAAATGCATGGTATAATAAGGAAAAGTTTAACCAGACTATTTTTCTTGATCAATGATCATTTTTCTAATATGATCATATTAGAAAATTCATACGAACTAGCATACAGCTAGTATTTCTAATTACGCTAAAAGACCAGAAAGTGGCTTGGGAAGAGGCACATATTAGTGTATCAAAATATACTCCGGAAGTAGAATCTTGATTGGAAACTCTAAGATTCGTGTATCTGCACAAACAGCACCTACATCATCATCAGTCTTATAAGTACAACAACTAAAACCTACATCATCATCAGTCTTATAAGTACAACAACTAAAACCTACATCATCATCAGTCTTATAAGTACAACAACTAAATTCTAATACTAACACATTAACCATAAATGTATATAATTTGGTACCCCCATCAACAGGAATAATATAGGATATTATATCTCAATAGGAATAATCTCAATGTTTCTTTTATTTCATTTTTACTTTAATTAATTTAATACATTTATGTTAACTTTATTTTGATTCATTTGCTGAATCCATTAATAAATACCTGTTCTGATCAATTTAGCATTAAGGTCTAATTCTCCCTACCTCGAGATAAGGAAAGACCAAATGCCCTTAACATCAATAGTTTTGTTTTGATTGTAATACTGTGTCATATGACTGACAAAATAACCAGAATATTAGTTTAAAACTTTTATGTCGTTCAACTAATGATAATAAAAGAGAAAAATGATAAGGAGATTAATATCTATCACTGTCAGCAGTACCAGTAACTAAGGAAGCTTATCTAAGTAACTCAATGAAAAGTATCTAATTTTATGTAACAGAAAAAGTGCCATCTCGAGATGATATGTTTTAACATTAATGACAAAAATAATGTAAAAGTATTTCTACCTCAATTCCCGTCATGGAAGACTCCCTAACCCAAGCTCCGGTGTCACCTGTATCGTCCCTGGTATAATCAAGTAATCCTTCAACCATACATGAAAGTATTTTTAACAAGTGTGTTTGACAGGATATCTTTTGATCTAAAATGAAAACATTAATACAATGAAATAGAACTTTAATGATAATAACAAGAATAATAAATTTAATGTTGCTGAATGCTAAATGATTTATTTATTTTCTACAGTAAAAGATGTCAGCGAGTATTGATTACAATATTTTTTAAACTATGATATAACTGACTAGCTCTAATCTACAAAGTCTGTGATTAATTTTATAGCTCATAACATTATTGCAGCCTTGCTGTTTCACAAAATTATAAGATGAACATGAACTTGAAATTTCAAATAATATCTAATAAATAATCAATGATATGGAGAATGATTAGCACCATTCTACATTCACCTAGAAAATTTATTCATTCCCAATATAGTGTCTCCCAAAAATTATCAAATGCAATCTGAGCAGTTTTCCTATTTAGATTCTAATATAAACTGTAACAATTTTTTTACCAAAAGTTTAATTCTAAAATTGCATTCTCAAAATTTAAAGGAACACACAAAAAAATAAATAAAATTGAATTACCTGGACTGCTAATTCCAACTTTGCAGCAGATAGAATTAAGAGACAGAATTGCTTGCCTTCTACTTTGAACCCATTTTTCAGTTGAATCAGTATATGTAGCACATTCTATCAAACTATCAATTATAATATCAACATGTCCTTTCAGTATATCAGCGGGTAAAGAACCTAAAACATTAATATTATTTATTAAAATATCATTAAATATTTTTTTTATCAGATATTTTAAATTTTTCTGATACTTAATAAAAGAAGAATCAATCTGTGGCTTAATGCAAGACCAACCAATATAAAAATTTTAAGCCCTCAGTAGGAGTGATTTGAAAATCGGTAGTATAATTAGACTATTTCTTAAATAGTTGAAAAGTAAATGTGATGACAAACATTGTTCATGTTTAGTAATTGAAATTGTATGTAATTCTCATAACAGGAATAAAAATTGAAAATATTTTGTGAAAATGGAAGTATTTAATGTAAAGAGGTAATTATTACCTAAAGCTAAAGCATGCCCCAGTCTTGTAGTTTCATCATTAGCTTTCAATTTGTCAATATAACTGTGTATGATTGTATTAGATTTGTCAACGTTAAGTTGGCAGCCAACCATGTAGTACTGTGAGCAGAGAGAAGGGAGAGCCACTGCAGCGTGATTTCTTATGCTGCCTACCTCGTGGCAGAGGCATTCATCAACCAGTTCTTGCCAGTCGTCTACAAATTAATTAAAATTAATACACAGGAAAACAAAAAATCTAACAATAAGCCAATAAATACATACCTGATAATTTTGAATAGTTGCATAAGAATGAATGAGAAGGAAGTGGAAATACAAACATTAAATTAATAAATCAAAGTAAATCGAGTTTTAAGTAATCCAGTAAAAATGACTTGACAATATCCATAACATTGTTGAAACGAGAATATTTCAGCTGGCGGGAATCAAATAACAATAACTTTGGCAAATATTAAAGCCATTAGTGTCACTGCAGCAATGACGATTAAAATCAGAATAATACAAACACAGGGGCCACAGCATAAGCAAGCTGGAATGCAACAACAGCATTCTTTCAGGCTACACATGATCAAACTGACCTTTTACAGCAAAATTGATTGAGCGAAAAAGATGCCATATGCCAAGCCAAGTCTTATCTTTAATTAATTTAAATTAAACTTGTTATCTTTCAAGCACTGATAGTGCCTCACCTAAAATAAACACACCTGATGGCGGTGACACATTGATATTCTGTTTAATCTAGACTAAGCCTAAATCAAACACCTGATGTACAACCAATAACATAAAAATTTGTTTTATGTTTGACATCTTTTCTGGAAAAATAATCTATTTCAAAAATTTAATTTCCTTTTTCTTGAAGCTAACATCTTAATACATATTACAATAGACAAATATAATTTTTGAACAATAAACATCCAGTACTTTAAATAAGCTCCTTTTTATTGTAAAAATATGGATATTTTTTGGCCCAAAATGTCAACCAAAAATTGAAATTTTTTTAGTTTTCATCACTCTTCCAGTTCAAGTGAGATGAATACAGGGAGTATCACAAGCAGGAGACAATATTTAAGGAGTCGAATTCCATACTCAAATCTCAAAATATTTTTTATTTGGAAGAAAAAGATCATTTTTCTTTATCCTTAAAACTAATATTTTAAAAATAAAAGCAATATATCATTTTCACTGCTAGGATAAACTGACATTTAATCATTTATGACATTCGATACTGACATTTGTATCACCTTTTAATTTTCTATTAAGAACCAATGTTTTAAAAAATCTTATAGTGATAGAAAATCAATTAAGAATAAAATAATAATTATGTATTTTAAATTTTTGGAAATTTTCATCTATCCAATTCAAGTCCAACTTGATCAAGAGTTGCCCTCAAAGATCACTCTTTAGTAACTCTATGTTTTTTATTGATATAGTTTAACAAGCGGAATTATGGTACTTTAATTCTGAAAAACATAAATTATTATTACTTTATTTTTTTTTAAATAAAAACAATAGTTTAATTACAAAAAAACTAAGGTGTGAGCTTTAGACCACACGAAAAAACTTAAAACATCAACAAGGCAAGATTAATAATATGAAATATAAATTATAAACAACAGCTCATTATAAAAAGGATGAAATGCTCAAAATTTCACTCGCTTACAGTATGCAGGTCCGATTTTTAGTTTCTGAGATATTTTAATCCATATCTACCATAAAACTCATTATCACTTGGTTTTCGACACTATTTTTTCCTTTATGCCTCTCTAATACAGCGTTGTGTTAAGATACAATTTTGAATAAATTTCTATTGCAGAAGAAGAAGAGGAAGAAAAATAAATTTTATTCTGCGACTAATGGTGGTATGCATATTCGTCCCTTGTACTCCAATTGCCCTTATCGTACCTAAAATGCTGGTAGTCAGAGTCCACTCCTTCAACTTATCTTCTACTATAGGGGACATAGAGGGCCCTTAATTATTCCCAAAAGTCACCTTTAGTCCCCCACTCACTACAACTTATATTTAACTGATAGAAAAGGTAATTATCGTGTTATTATTATTATTTTTGCTATTATTATACTTCTTAAATTATGCCTAAATAAAATCTAGTAAAATGAAACTTCTTGGTTCAAACTATTTTCTGAGTATTTAAAAGGTAGGTTAAAAGCTAAAAAAGAAAAATTTTATTGAGAACGTTATTTTCTCCAATCCACGTCATAGAATTAGTACGATATGAGCCAGATAATGATATATAACTTCTTCTTCTTTTCTTATACATTATTGCAACAATGTGTTAAAATATCAATTAAACATCGAGTAAGTAAAGGAGAAAGGAGGTAACTGGACTGTTTAAATACATAATAAACTATTGTTATCTTTTTTTTATATTGTTATTACATAGATAAGTGATAGAAAAAGAAAAAGATTTTGTGGAGAGGAGTTACAGATCCTTACATCTCTAGTTCTCAAAAAAGCTGATGTTATAGAAAATAAAGATACAGATACTGTTTCAAATACAAAAAAAAAAAGGCTTGGAAGAAAATTCTTGGCGAATTCAATGCTAACGGAGAACATAGATATGTATGTATTTTTACTTAAAAGTATTAATACACAACTGATACATTTACTTTAAAAGTGGCATAAATGAAATATAAAAGAGGAACAGAAAATTTTAAGGCATAATTAATGAACTTTATCATTCTTCAAAACATTAATTTATTTTTTGAGGATGCTCAAGTCAAAAAATAAAGTATAAATTTAACACACTAAATAATCAATTAAATATTTATTATGAAAGCGACTTATACCACTTCATTCAACCCTTCCATTAATAAATATTTTTAAAAACCTCATTTCTTATATACTTCAATTTGCCATTGTCTGAAAATACCTATTTCTGCTTTTAAAAAAAAGTGTGGTACGTAAAAGTTGTATGATGCACACACTACCCTGATTTTTTATTTTAGAACTGTTGGTACTGTTCAATCCCTTAGATTATTTAAAGTTTTGAAATTATTTTCAAAGAACCATTATACACAGTTGCCACCATTCGGTATTCCAATTGGTAAATACTTCACTATTCCTTCTTGTTCCGCTGACCTCTACCACCCATTTTCCTAATGTATCTATTAGGGACTCATTTAACTATGCTAAAGTTTATCTGACAGAACTCGGGTAATGGATTATAGTTTGTTCGGAATAAATTAATATAAATAAAATAATTTCCTGGGATAGAACCGGGTTTAGGATACAATGATAAATACTATATATATTTATATATATAAAGGAAATAAGGAAGGTAAATTGAGGAATTCAAATCAGATAAGATTTTACTAAAACATTAAGTTTTACAAAAAAATTAATACCTTTACTAAGAAATCAAGATGTAATTTTTTTAAATATTGTAATAGTATGCCAAATATTAATGTCAAGTTTGTCAAATGAACACAAAACCCAAATGTTATCTCTACTAAGACAAATCTAATACTTTCATTTTTATTTACACCTTAATATTTTTAAATTGTTAAATATCAATTCAATTATATTAATTGTGTTTAATTATTGTTGACCTATTCATTTAATTTAGGTTTTGAAATTGACTACATTTTACTTGTACTTTTTTATGTGTTTTTGTATAACTTTTTTTTTTTTTTAATTCCTTAGAACTTTTACTTCTAAAACTTTTTTTATAAAATGTTTCAATGAAGCTATTATAATAGTTCTAATCCTTGGTATTGACTATTTGATACCAAGAAATATTTTTTAAAAAAGTATGTAAAATAGTTTATTAAAGTAAATAGAGCTCGACCACTAAAGCGTGGCTAAAACGTCCATTAAAATAAACAAAGAATCAGAAGTGTGAAACTTCACAAATTGGTGTACATAAAAAAGAGCTTTAAAAAAAATAGTAAACTCAATATTTCAGAAGTAAAATAATAACCAAAATTGTACTTCCTATAAGCTAAATATTATTAAATTAAATTATCATGGGTGATAAATATTCAGGACGCAGTCTTTTTTAAAAAATTTATTTATGCCAATGTTTCAACCCAAACATGTTGGTCATTTTCAGGGTATGGTTTGAGCACTGAGGGTGTTCAAGTACTGTACACAAAAAAAAAAAAAACTGAATCCTGAATATTCATCACCCATGATATGTAGAACAGTAGACTAACTTCCTTCAATAAATTAAATTATTAATTAACATGTTCTTGCTAGTATGTTTCAACTTGTAGGCATCCCCTAATTAAGATGGCAATGGTCTAACTACCGACAGGGTTAAATTTTTGGATACACTTGAGACTTACTATTTTTATCAGAAAAAGTAAGTTGTAATTCCTTACTCAGAATTCGTATAAATCTATACCTGCCTTTATAGTACTTCTAGTAAGGTATCAATATCTAAAAGCTTTACTTTTTTATTTACACCATTTTAAATGGTTTACATACTTCAGGTAGTTTTGAATAATGAAACCAGAATTAAATTAGCAATTTATCGAATAATGTTATCGATGAATTATAATTAAAATTACTATTTAAAAAAATATCATTACTGGAGGCATTGTATTTAATAAATATATAAATAATACATCAGTGTACTACATCCTGAAGAAATTTCAATCTTGAAAATCTTGTCCTTCTCAAAGTATAAATTTTCAAAAATAACCAAAAGTCTTTTTTTGGCAATTTTGTATGAGAGTGAATGGTCACCTTGCCAACTGTTATTGTGATTGGGGGAGGGGGGAGAGGAATAATGCTCTAGATTGATATTTCTGTTAATGTTACGTTATGAACTGAGCAAAATTGATTTTATCAAACATTTTCATGTTTTATAAAAAATTATTTGCAACATCAGTAGAAATATAAATAAATCTAAATAGAATTTATTAATTTAAAATAACTTGAATAGTTTTCTATATGTCCAGAAGAACCTTAATAACATAATAACGCTGGATGGAATCACATTTCTATATGGATCATCATAACTATCTAGCAATATCATTGTTTATCGTAACTAAAAAAGATAGGGTAGCCGAAACAAATAAATTAAGAAGGACGTATAATTTTAACCAGAAAAATAGAAAATAAATTTTTATCACTGTTAAATTAATATTAAAATATTAGAATCATTTGTTTGCTGTCAAATTCTAGAAACAAATTTTGGTTTCATAGAAGTTATTCTTCCAGATTCCTGGTGAAGCCGTTCCCAATTCTCACCACACTTTTCTTATAGTATCAAAGAACTTATTCTAGTTTTAGAGTAATACTAGCCCTAAAGTTTCAAGGTCCCATGTTTTACAGTATATATCATCAGCAAAATTATT